CAATTAGAAATGTTGTTTTTTTTCCTACAAAACAGGGACTTAAAGATTAAGTAAAGTCCACTTGTAAATACGTTACTTAGGGCCCGTTTGATCAAACTTAATTTGGGTATGAAGTCTGAAATCTGAAGACTGAATCATAAGTACTGAATTGATTAAGTTTGTCGTGTTTGATAAAACCAAAATCTAAACACTGAATAAAATGTCTGAAATCTGAAGTCTGAATATTGAAATTTAAAGTATCTCGACTTATAATTTTATCTAAAAAAATAATTGATGTATATGAAACTATGATAACAAAAATAATAATATTATTATTAAATAATGTAATAAAAATATTTAAATTTTATTATGTTATTATTTTTTCAGTTAATAATAATGTCATATTTTATCATTGTCAAAAAAGGTCATATTTTATGGTAAAGATATATTGATCATGGAATTTCATGGATTTTAATTTTTATATAAAAATAAATATTTATTAAATAAAAAATAATTTACATAAATTTTAATTTAGAACTAGACGTCATGATTAATAAAAATATTTCAAGATAAAATATCAAAAGTATAAACATAAAAATAAATAAATAGAAAAAAATCGTTTCAAGAATTCAGTTCAGACATAAGTGATAGGCCTATCACTTATTTTTAGGCTCACATTTGTACTAGCATTTCAGACCCACTTAATTTAATAAGATATCCTACTTTGAGTTATCAAACACACTTAAAATTTAAGTCCTTAATAAATTAAGTTCTTAAGCAATTAAATTGTTATGATAGTGTGTTATCAACAGTACTAATCAATTAAGTACTTAATTAATAAGTTTAAGTGCTTAATTGGTTTATCAAACAGGGCCTTACCCATTATCTTCTTAGTCTATTAGGAATTGTAGGGTTACAATACAATTAAGCAGTTCTAAAATTTTATAGACAATCTACAATGGCCAATTGTTTTGTCCTTCTGAAAGATAGATTCGTTATCAACCAGGTAATTATTTAGTTTTGATATTATGTTTTTACAAATCGTTATACTTTATTATATTAATCCAATAAGTTATGATTGTAGGCACTTCCTGTTGTTGGATCTATATCTCAGGATCATAAAGATGGAGAAGAAATTACTCTGAAAATTGCTAAAGGGAATTACCGTGTCAAGTGCAGTTTCAACGCACATAGATCTGGAAATATATGTTATGGATTTGCATGGAAAGATTTCGTTATTGCTCATAAATTGTTAACAAGATATGTCCTGTATTTTGATGCTGAAGAAATAGGAGTACTTCAAGTATCTATTTTTTATCGCAATCATACTCTGATACAGAATTCAGTTCCCAGACTACAACTGTACTACTCCAAAGACATACAAGACAGTATGGTATGCACAGTATTGCAATAGTAATTACACTGCCAATTACTTTCAAATTTACTTTGAAACTGCCTTTGCAATCCCTCTTCTTCCACTCCGGCCTTCAATCTCTTTAATCCTCTCCCATTACAACCAGCTACACAACAAAGTTCTTGCTCTAACAACACCACATTATCCAAATTTTGAAGACATAATCGTAATTGCGAATAGGGGGGAACAAAAGGAAGAAGGAAAACAAAGAGAAGCCAATCACCTAACACAAACTTTACAATGAAACAAAAGTACAACAACTCAATTTTTTCCCCAAAAGAACAGTTCTCACATGACCACTGGCCAGAACCCCAGTTCACATGAATACCAGAAAGAAATTGACAAAACAAACACTGTCGTTCTCCAACTACAATTGCAAAAACAAATAAATAAAAAAAAATTGCCGCATCAAAAGCGGACTTGAAAATTACAGCCTCCTCAAGAACTCACATCCACCCACTCTTTGTTCTTTCTAAGGTTAATTATAAGTAAAATCCTGCTGATGAATATGATGGAAACATTAGGGTGAAACCATCCCCAAACACGAAATTGATGGGGACGCACAACTCATTACTTCTAAACCTGAAATTAAATAGTTTGAACTTCAAAAATTTTCAAGAATTGAAGAAGCATTGTAGAAATGGGTAGAAAGATTGGTGTTAGCGGTGAAGGGTTGAAGCCAAAAGGGGGTTTGAAGAAAGGAAAAGAATGCCGTGGAAGAAGTAAGCAAAAATCGTAGTGCAGAGAAAAGTAAAAGAAAAATTTGCCCGTGCCTTTTTAAGCAAAAACGACAACGTTTTGCTCCCTAGACAGAATAAGACAGGAAAATGATGGACACACGATCTCCCAATCACGTCTGGAGTTTTGTGTGTGGCTTTTATCACCAGCCAGAGTTTTTGATTTGATTTATAGTATACTAGATGGTACCCGCACGATGTGCGAGATAAATAAATTATGTATAAAATCGAACATAATAATAATTAAAGAAATATTTTATATTTTAGTAAATTGATATACAATTTAAAATCACTAAATTAAATAATGTTACAATAAAAGTAATTTTTATACACTTACTTATTTACAGAAAAAAAAATAAAGAGATCCATATATTGATATATATGTTAAATATATTTCATTTTCGCGAATCATCATCATATATTTCACATGTTGTCCCTAAGAAAACATCAAACATTGAAATCGTTACTTAAGATTGGCAAAGAAACTCACCATGATGTGTATTCGAAAATCCTTGTTGCAGAAAAATATTTGCCCACAACTTGCAAAAGTTAGAAGTGAAAATCTTTTGACACAAAAAAAATAATGATTATTAAAAAGAAAAATATAAATTCGAGAGAGAGAGCGGGGGAGTGAGGGAGGAAGGGAGGGAGGGAGAGGAAGAGGAAGAGGAAGAGGAAGAAGAAGAAGAAGAAGAAGAAAAGATTCCAGTATAAACTGGGATTGCGACCCAATTGAGTTTCATAAGTGCACTTTATATATCTATAATATTATTCAAGCCCATCAAAAAATCTTTTCAAATCAATCAACTTTAATATTGAATTAAAGAATCACTGATGATCTTGTATTTATTATTTTCAAATTTCAAATAATCATTAATATTGTTTAATGATCAAATCAATACGTAATACCATTATCCAAGCCAATCGGATAATCTTTTTCAAATCAATCTTATTTACTGTTGAGATTTTAAAAATTTATCGTTTTCTTTTTCATTTTAGGGAATGCAAAATAGAAATTTTACCACACAATTAATTGATATATTTTTATTAAGTTGGTAACAATTTATTAACTGGAAGTTCAAAGAACTGTTTGTGTAATTGCTGTAAATATTTTTTGTGGCAACCTATAAGAAAATGACACATAGAATTTTGTCCTATGTGTCAACGGGAGGAGAAGTTTGATTTCCTTTATCTGATTTCTCTCTTAGTATAATACTATAGACTATAGATGATATATCTCTAAAAATATATTATTATCTACAATTTCATTAATTGTTTTCGAATTTTAAAAAAACATTAATATTTTTTCATGATCAAACCAATATGCAATGACATTATTCAAGCCAATCAAAAAATCTTTTCAAAACAATCAGTGTTATTGTTGAATTAAAGAATCAATGATGATTTTGTATTTATTATTTTCTAATTTCAAAAAAACATTAATATTGTTTAATGATCAAACCAATATTAATAGCATAACTCAAGCCCATCATAAAAATTTTTCCAATCAATCAACTTTAATGTTGAATTAAAAAATCACTGATGATTTTGTATTTATTATTTTCAAATTTCAAATGATCATTAATATTGTTTAATGATCAAATCAAGACTTAATACCATTATCCAAGCCATGGGCACATCTTTTTCAAATCAATCTTATTTAATGTTGAGATTTAAAAATTTCTCGTTTTCTTTTTCATTTTAGGGAATGCAAAATAGAAAGTTTACCACATAATTAATTGATATACTTTAATTAAGAATTGATAATAATTTATTAACTGAAAATTCAAAGGACTGTTTGTATAATTGTTATAAATATTTTTAGTGTCAACCTATAGGAAAATGACACATAAGATTTTGTCCTATGTGTCAACGGGAGGAGAAGTTTGATTTCCTCTCTCTGGTTTCTCTCTTAGTATAATATATTATAGATGTAATAATAATGTATATTATTAGATCCGCTCGAATTATTATCCAGTTTATATCTTCAATTTTAGTATAATTTACATCGTGAGTGAAATCTCAAATTGGATAATAATTTTGGGACGAAGATATATTATTTTTCAGTTTAAGTTTTTATTACAAATTACACTATAAATGAAATCTCAAAATGGTCAATAATTTTGGAAAAGGAAAAGTATATATTTTGTTTTGTGAACCAAAAGTACCCATAGAATAGTGGTGTGGAGTGGGGTCCTTTGCTTTGAAACTTTACACATTGAATGTGACTTTGGCTTTTGGCTTTTGTGGGTCGTGCCGTTAATACAAAGGGCGAACTTACTAGTAGTATTTCATAACGTAAAATTTGAAAAACAAAAGACGTAGTAGTTCTTCTTCTTGCGGTAGGTGTGTGTGTATACATGTTTTTTTTAGTTTTAACGGCGCTCACCCTAGCCTCCTTTTTTTTTCCCTAATTACTCTCTGAAGATTCATTCATTCGATCGGGTCAATCCCTCTTTCTGTAATCACCAAAATCATGATTGATTCATCCATCACTCTTGATCCAATTAAGCTCGACTTCTCATCTCTTTCGACCCAAAGGAAGAAGCACATTACCTCCTTCAGCGCAGGCATGGAGATATGTATGATTTTCGGAATCATCCCTCCTTTCTGTGAATCGATCCCGGCCGCCCGGTGCCCTAGCTGCGCTCAATCCCTGATTGTAAGATCCGGCCTGGACGGAGTTAATTCCGCACCTGCGTTTCAGTTTGTTTTTCCAATCCATCAATCTGCTGATCTTGGTTTATTTCCTTCCTCATTTTTTTGTTCCTTTATGATCTTGGTTTACTTTCTCTCGCTCTTCCTTTTTCTCTCGCTCTTGTTGGATGCTATTAATCTACAACATCCACGAAAGTATCTACAACATCTCTTCATTCCTTCTTCGACTTCAGAAGCTCTGCAACAGAGTTCTGCGACTCCTCGAGTCGCTTCTTCACGACTGCCATCTTTGAGGCCATATTTTCCATGGCCTCAGTTGCCTGAAATAAAAAGAAGAGAGAAATGCTTGTGATCAATTCAGACTATCTCCTTTGCTCCCTTTCCTATATTCTGGCAGATTATCTTTCTATCTGATTATGAACAAATTGGTAATGTTCATTATCAGTAAGAATCATTTTGAGAATGCCTTTGCTGAACCCATTTTCAAGGCAAAATAAACATATTTCCCACAACACTAACACAACAAGAGTACAATTGAAAGATTAGTTAATCACCAATAGCAAGCATACTTACATTCTCGTTAGCATTGTGGAGTTCGTCAAACCTCTTCATTACCTCCTTGTGGAGGCCCGCGGCGCTAAATTTGGCCTGAACAGCTAGGCATTGTTCCCCAAGCAGCAGCAACAACCTTCCTGCGATAATCCAGGGCAAGACGAGCAAAGTTCTTGAACCAAGGGAAAGATTAAAAACGATCCCTACAAGCTAAGATTTCTGCTTCCGTTTAAGGTAAGAATGTCATCACCAAATATCTTGAACTTCTAACAAGGCATCATCTCATCATTCATAAACACAACTTTTCACCAAGTACCAGCCATAAAGCTCCCTAGTGTAATTACTCATATGCACCTCTTACGAGGACAAAACTTTGTTAACAATATTTCGTGGATGTTGTATATTAGTAGCATCCAACAAGAGCGAGAGAAAAAGGAATCACTTCTGAATTTCCCGTCCACTTTTTTATGCAATTCCTTTTTCTCTCGCTCTTGTTGGATGCTACTAATCTACAACATCCACGAAACATTGTTAACAAAGTTTTGTCCTCAAAATGCAAAAGTCCATGCGCTCTATTTTAATGCAAACTCCAAGCCAGTTCAAAAATAAAACATTATTGAGAGGCAAACAAAGTGCTAACAGTTTAGCAACTGGTGCTGTGCCTATTTCCAATCATTATAAGGAAATTTTTTAATGAAATACTCCTTCCGTCCAAAAATGATTGTCCAGATTGATTTTAATTTTTATTACAATTTGTACAAAATGTGAAAATCTGAACTTGACCATCATTCCTGGACGAAGGGAGTATTATTTTCAACAACTAAGCCGAGCCCTGGCTCTAAAGTGTAAATTACCCCCTACAACATAAAACTGACTTAACTGAAAACTAGAGAAGAATCACCATTTCAACAAGAATAAATTTATCATATTTTGAAGGAAATCATTACACATTTTAACATGGTATCACCAGGAGACAAGAACTGGGCGTGGTACCAATCCCCCCACCCAAAATGGAAGTTAAGCATACCAGAGCAGTATGTTCTTGCAGAACCCTTGACAGGTTCTATCTAGCTTCCTCTTTGCACTCTTCAAGCTTCTGCTCACATTTTCTTTCCATTTCTCCAACAATTTTGTCAGCCTAAAAGTTCAGACAGATGAGAACTTTTCTTTCAAATGAATGCTAACCTTTTCTTTCCAAAGGAACCACAATTAGCTAACCTTTTCTTTCTCACGGTTAGCACTTTCCAATTTCTCCACCTCATACTTCCTCCTGATCTCATTAATGGCCTTTATCATAGTATAACTTCAATTAGGTCATAGTGAGATTTTTGTATATATATATGTGTGTGTGTGTGTGTGTGTATAAAATAAAGAAAATTAAACAAGAACTTGTCTGATATTTTCCTCGAAAGAAAACAGAAATGAAAATGGCACCTGATCATTTTTCTGTGATATTTCTTTCAAGGCCTTGACAATTCTAATTGTTTACTTTCTAACATCTGATCATATTGCTTCTTTGCCTCAGAAATTTTGGTCTCTGTTTCACCTAGTGACACCTCAATCTGCATGAAGCCCACAAAAAACTATTAAATGAAAAACCAAAGGAACAGCGAGAAAGAAAAAGGATGGGACAACTTGGATCTTTAATTGAAGAACCTTTGTTTTGTGATCTTCCAGCTGCTTTTCCCTGATCTTCAGTTCCTCGACAAGCCTATCCTTCTCCTCCAGAGTTACATTAATCTGACAAACTTGCTTTTGGAGTGAATCTATTTGCTCATCTCGGTTTTCAATCTCCTTCTTCAGAGCGTCAATTCCACCTTCTTTCTCAGTTACAACTTCTTGCAGCCTCTCAATGCTATCTTTTGTCTCAATTTCAAGCTCAGAAAGTTTCAACTGTATATCTTTCTGTCAAGTAGAAGTGTGTTTAAGTTCAGTAATAAGAGAATGCTGCATAGAGCCAAAACAGTTATTAACAGAACTCACCATTTTGCTTTCAGATATGCTCAAGTTTTCTGTTAAAGTCTGAACATTCTCTTGTAATTGGGTAATCAGCACATCCATTTCACTCTTCTGAGATTGAAGAGTCTCTACTTCATATTCCAATCTACGAATTTTCTCTTCTGCTAAACGACATTTTTCTGCATGCTGTACCGTAGTAAATTCCTGCCCGTTCTGAAGTTCAATGACTTTGTTTTTCAATTCCTGATTAAACATCTGCAAACCATCTTTTTCTGAGGCAACAAGTGTTAAGTGGTCTTGGAGGTTATCAAACTTCTTTTGAGTACGGAGGGAAGCAATCCGTTTTTCATCATCAAGCAGCTTAAAGCAAGACTCAAATAATGAAATCATCTGGGAAACCTTTTCTGAGAATGTCAAACTCTGTGAATTCAGATCAACAAGCTTTGCAGTAAGCAAATCAACAAATTCTTCAAGGTTCTTTATCCGTTGAAGAGCAGTGTCTAGCCTCAAAAAGAGCTCCTTGTTGACACCCAAGAAATAATCCTTTTCTTTTTCTAATCCTTCCTTGGAGCTCCTCAGACTTTTTATGTCTTCTTCCTTTTGTTTCAAGTTTATATCCAAACGTTCCAACTTTGAATTCAAACTCTCCATGGCCAATCCATTAGATGCAACTGTTGCTTCGAAGGTTTTTATCACAGCATCTTTAGAGGTGCTTTGGCTGATAAAAGGGTTCAAAACAAGCCTCTGGGATGCAAAACCCTGAGAACAAGCTAAAATGAAATAGATTAATAAAATTTCACGTTTTCAAACTACAGCTTATAGAAAAACTAAAGGATACCATCGTTACTAATCCATATACAAGAATTTATGTCGACTTCGAAATGTAAACAGTGTGTGTTGTCCAAATACTATACATTCCTGCTTCTGATTCGCCATATTGAGGTTGACAACTCATTTAAAAATCCTACAGAATCGTGTATAAACATGATCCAGTTTGCAAAGAAACATGAATAGAAGCTCCTTTTACTACAAACAAAATACAACAAATCAGCTTGCATTTTATAAAATGACTTATGAGTTACAGTGGCCAATCAAGTCGAGCAGAAGTACATCATAACTATGTTAGCTCAAACTTACTTAAGAAGGCCAGGCCAGACCATCAAAACAAAAGTAGAAGTTATTAATACCCTTTATCTGAAAGATTAAGTATTATTCATTTTGAAAACAGAAACTCTATTACATTTTAAGTAACTTCATGAAGTCCACGAATTCAATTCCTTACAACCCCCAGAATTAGATTGAAAAAGAAAGTTGTGTGTTCAAGAGGGAAACTTTAAATAAATTGGATTAGGTAGGCATAGTGTAGATGCTAAAATTCAGAAAGCATTAACTTTTCTCGTGAAAAAAGAAGGGAAAGAGCAGGAAACCACAAACTGGTAGTTTTTGGTCCTTTTATGGTAAGGTTTCTTCATTGGGATGAAGTAGTCTTGACAAACACAGGATCATTCAAAAGAGTTCACTTTCTTCTCTGAGTTCATGAAAAAATTATAGGTAAAAGGACAACATAGGGCAGATTCTTATGACAATAAATAAAATTGTCTGCTAATCGCTCTGGTCTCTAGGCATTCGACAAAAATGAATCCAAGAGCTTCTGACATTGTTATTGCGACAACTAAAATTTCATGTTAAACTTTGGTGCGCAAACACATCTTTGAGTGGCGGACTAAACACTGCAACAACATTTAATTCACACTAGCACAGTAAGAAAAGCAATGTGATGAAAAACCAGATACAATAAACTCTAAAACAAAGGTTACCTTTTTCCTCAATGAGAGCAAGGGATCCTTTCAGCTCAGTATCTAAGGATTTCTCGATGTTCAACTTTTCAGCTTGAAGTTCCCTCAGTTCCTTTTCCCCTGAAAGAACATTTTAAACCATAACTTATTAGAACAAAGTAATGTCAGCACAGCTATATTTTTCTTTTCCGTGTCAGATAGAACAAGACTACTGAAGGGACACCATATTTGAACAATGTAAAAGGATAAACGACACTCACGAGTTTTAACAGTTTCATCCGAAGCTTTCAACCTTAACGAAACGGAATTCATCTGCTCATGCAAATCATCAATAGAAGCTGACGACGCAGATAGTCTCTCCTCAAATGCTAAATTGTGTTTCTCAGCTGTAGGAAAGGCGTAAACTAAATGTAATCAGAAAAGTTCCAGAAAACAAAGAGATAATCGCAGATGACTATTGCAAAATACATACCAGCCTGAACCAGACTCGCTAAGTGTTGTAAAGTATCAGTGAGTTGATCGCACAAAGTCTTTGTAGAAGAGAACTTAGATTCCAGTCCTTTCCAAAGATTCTCATCTTCCTGATGCTTTACTTTTAGCTTTGAATTCTCATTATATGCATTCTGTAACTTCTCTTCCAATACTTTGATATCCTCTGAAAAGGAGAACAGTATTTACCATGAGGAGTTTCTTTGACCCGTTTCTACACGTTTTCTGTGTCTACAGTTAATTACTGTATTTACTTTGAGTTAGCTAAATTGCACAAATCCATCCTCGGAGGTACCATCTTTTTCCTGTCTCTCTCTTCTTCTTTTTTGTGAAAACGAGTTTGAAGACCATAGCGGCGGCATTGATGGGATAGTCTAAAGGAACTCAAGTTTTGGTATCAATGTGGGAATGTCTGTATATTGAGGTACCTACTCGTCAAGCAAGGATAGTGGAGATGGAAAACACACACTACATCATAGGCTGATTTCAGGGTGCATGTGATTGAATCAAACAAACCATGACAACAGCGCTTATGCATTCTTTTCACTTAGATTGCAGTTTAATGTGTTTGGACACATTAATTTAAAGCTAATGTAATGTGCTGCTTCTTTTGACTCCGTAGGTAGGACTAACGAGGATGAAATGAGAATAATTCGCATCTCTTTTGGTAACAACGAAATGCACAATCATGAGGAAATTTTAACACTCCTCCTTTATAGTGAAGTGATTTGCACCACCACTTGGTTGGGATTTAAATTTATGGTCACTCTATACACTTGTCTTATCTGAACTAGGAAATTCTTACACATTCTGCACAGTGCATTGCTCATGATGTAGTTTGGGCTTTTGCTCTTCAGGAAACCATTTTCTTGTGCTAATACATGAACTTGGATATATCTTACCATAACCTCAGTGTATAGTAGTAATCCGACTGGGCAGAATTCGTACTTCACTGGACTGTTTCCCTTGGCTCTTCTTGTACATATCACACTGGGATCGATCCTTTTCTTGTTTTGTTTTGTATTAACTAGAAAGAAAGATTTCGTAGAACTGAGAGCTTTCAATCGACAACCATTCCAACTTAATTTGCCCCGGCCGGTACTGGCGTATTGATAACAACTCTAAACTACATACATTCTTTTGTGGTAGAATAAAAAATTGACAAGACTAAAGTATCTTGGGGAATTGTTTGGGGGGGTTGGGGGAGTTTAAAACAGAAACACAAAGGGAGGTAGAAATTACTTGATTAAAACGCACCAAGCTTAATTAAGCAAGCATAGAAAAGTACCAGAATCTTCTGCAAAAGATCCAACATCATACCAACATAATTAAACATAGAAAAAAAAAAAAAGAATGATTCACATGTTGGAATCTTTTGCTTTTTAATTTTCCCAGAATAAAACTAGAGTGAAGGGCAGGAACAAGGTACTGTTAGGAAGTTCGTTTAAATTGAAAGCCATAACTATAGCATAACATACTCAAACAACCCGTTTCCTAGAAACACGATTTTTAAAAAGAGGCGAGAGCTCTAGTACATAAAATGGGAAAAAAGGGAAAAAAAAAACATGAAAAAGGAATCAAGTAGTTCCATTGAATGTTGCTGAAACTCTGAAATCAATATGAACAGAGTTTAGTTGTGCATTACAAGGGGTCTCAATATAGCCCCCGGAAATAACTACAGAAATGTAGTTGAATTCCTCATTATCAATAAAGCTAGAAGTTTGGATTGCTTGACATTAGCATAAACGAGAAAGTTTAACATTACCCTGCTAAAGACATATAATAAATACCCAACATAAGTTTGCTTTTTAATTTCGATTTTTTTTTACTGTAGCAAAAAAAGGGGGAAAAATTGACTAGCATGTGAGACCCACAAAGGTGGGAAGTGAAAAAAAAATTTTGAAATTTGAAATCATTTTAATTTTTTATTTTTATTTTTAAATTATTTATTTTTTTATTATAAATCATTTATTATTTTGATCTTATATGTGTCATTCCGAAAATACCCCTAACTTGGTAGGGTCAACGGTCATCAAGACAGAAATAGTGACGGAACAGTGAAAAGAGACCAAAAAAGTTTCAAAATGAAATGTAAAGGCTCAATCCATATACATGTTGATGTAGGGGACCAAAATTTAAATTCGGACAAATGTAGAGGACCATTTATACAGTTTAGTCTTATTTTCTCCTCCCCTTTTCGGTATTTGGTAAATATTCCGATTATCTCCCTTGACCGTTGCGGGGGGTCAACTTGACATACTCTGTGAACCAAAAACGATAGTTGGAGTCCAGGGGGTAATAATACATTTACAATATGCATAACTATATATATATACATATATATATATATATATATATATTATTATTGATTGGCAGCCCAAACCAAACCAGGCCTTTTCACTCTCTTTTTTTTTTTTATTTTTTATATCCATTTCCTTACAAGTTCAAATATTTACGACAAATTTTGGGGAGGGAAACAAAAAGCGATGAACAAACTACATATGGCACTGCGAAGAAAACTATTTCCAAACAAACATATGGCACTGCAATGATGCAAATGCAATTGTGGTCTGAAAATTTATGACCCAACTAATTTTCTGAATGCCTGCCTGTAAATGACTAATTGCCTTCACCTCTCCCATACAGAGAGACATTTGCCAAATATATGCAATAGAAAAAAGAGCACAATATTTGGAGTTTCACTTCCTCAAAATTACTACGAATATACAGTGATACTGCGTAAGTGATGAAATCGGGAAGTTTGTGCCCCGGAAAATTCTGTAAAACTTTTCTGAATGCCTCTAATAAGGGGAAGATAGAGGGACTCTGGCTTTTTTTTTTGCTTAATTGAAGTTCCCCTCCTCAAATTGCACCTCAAACTTTAACGACTAATTCATTTCACCAATGTTGTCTCCAACACCCCTTCCATCATTGCCTTACATCAGTGACTCCCAAAAACAAGAAACCCAATCATTTCCTGTTTTCGGATGTTATCAGCCAACAACAAGAGTATTTCTCCCCCCAAATCAACACCTAAATCTAGAGCATGTCTTGGTCCAGGCATTCACAAATGGTTGAACCAGTGATTGACACCACCATTTACATGTCCATTGCTGTGTACACCATTCTGTTGTATTACAGAAGGCGCAAGTCCAACAGCCATTGGAGGAGGTGGAGCAACAGCAGCACCACCGGGGGAATATAATCCTTGATGATTGCGTGCAATGGTGTGAGGGTTTACTAGAGGGCTACCCCCAGCAGGGCTGCTCCCCTTCCGCTGCTGGATCAAATGAATCTGCCTCAGTCCATCTTCATGTATCCGTGACAATGTTTCCAACTCTTTCATTGACAATGCTTCTAAACCTACACCATATAAAGGGGCATGGCGAGACATTTCTTCCTGTAGCGACGCCTTCAGATTATGAATGCATTGCTGCACAAACAACAAAGAAAGTTAATCAACAAGACAATCAAAATATTACACCAAATCGTACAAGTTAGTAACTAAATGCTAACAGTTTTTGTAAGTTTTTTTGCCCAGAAAAGATCATACTCATTTCATAAAACTATGATTCCATCCAGGTTTCCTAAATTTATTCAAATGGAAAAAAAGAATGAATAAAACCGCATGCTGGAATGAGAATTTTGACTGAGGAACCATTGGAGCTTCGATTTGCCAACAGATGAGGACCATGATACCGGAACTCCAATGACTAAAGACAACAATGGAAGTCAACAAACCATTCAATTCCAAAAGCTTCACCCAATGAAACCATAAGCAAAATCCAACCAGATGAAACAAAGTCCAAAACCCTATAGGAAACATATTCAATGGTGACCAAGAATGTGTATTACCATGAACCCTTCAAAAAAGGACAATCGAATTCAAAATAATTAATTTATTTCAAAACTCAAGATTACACTGGATCTCTGGATAACATTACCTCAAAGGCCTGCAATTTGGATCCGGAGGCATCAATGTAAGCTTCAAATCTAGCAACTTGCTCTTCCTTCTCACGCTTCTCCCCTTCAGTTTGCGCTACTGTTCGCGTCAACCGACGGACCTCTTCTTCAAGTGATTGTCGTACTTCTTCACGAGTAATATTCTCAGAAGCAAATCTTTTCAGCTCATCATCATATCTTTTACGAGCAGCTTCTGCATTCTTCAACCTCTCAGCCAGTGCATTTTTCTCTTTCACAACTCTCTGTAGTGTCCACAAGGTTTTATCACAAATCCATAATAAACAGTCAAATACTATATGTGTGTGTGTGTGTGTGTGTGGGTGTAGCAAATGGCAAACCAAATTCCCTGGGGAGAGGAAAAATTAAACCAGAACACTTCTCCGATTCTTACAAATTTGTGCCCATAAAGGTGCTCCAACAAAATAAGTGAAATGTGATAAAAGACAAAATGGCCAACGATTTCATGTCAAATAATGCTCATCAAATTCCAGTCAAAAAATCTACAAACTAGCAAATGAAAATCCGAAATCCCCTCTCCCAAATCAGGATCATGAATAAAATTAACATGCCATCCATAGTGGCCGGGCCGGTGGAATCTAAAGCAATAAACTAATGCACACAAACATGCCTTTCTTCCCTACCTGCGACAATGTCATGTTTCAATAACACCATCACAAACATACCCTAGAATGAAGCATTAAAACAATATGTACTCGATAAAGCGTATGACAGGAGGATCTAAACTACCAGTGGCTAAGACTCAACCCGGGGCACCTCAGGACACAATCCTTTCTTTCTTCTCCACAAGCCTCAATATCACATTACAACTTTACTACAGTTACAAATACACCTTAGAAAGAAGCATTAAACACTATGTACTTAATAGCGCATATGCAGAAAGGAGAATCTCAACTTTCTTATAATCTAACCACAGGGCTACTAGGTTGAAAATACAACAACCTTTTTCGGCTAGGCTACTAGGTTGAGAATCCTAATGCAAAAAAATAAAAAAGAAAAGATAATTATTAACATCAATACATCCCCACAAACTCATTAAGAAAACAGGAACAAATTGCAATGATGACAACAGCACAAACCTTCAATTCATCACGTTTCCTTGATCTCAATTGGGAAAGTTGTGTCTCAGCATCATGCAAACGTTCCTGTAAAACCTTCTTCTCGCCACTGAGCTTTGATATTTCATCATCCTTTTCTGAACGAAGCCATTCAAGTTGACTCTCAACTTCTTGAATTTGCTCTGTCAGCTCTTTTCGTTCACGAGCAAAACGATCAGCTTCATTCTTCATTTCAGACTGAGTGATTCACAAAAGTCACTCTTAGAATCTGACCAGAGTCATCAGCAGAGGTGATAACACTATGCAAGATGACTAACCAGGAAGGAAGAAGAAAGGTTACCTTTAGCCGACTATTGGCTGCCTCAGTTTCGCTCAGCTTCTGAGACAATAAAGCTTTTTCCTTGGCCATGATACCAAGCTCTGATTTGCTCTCTTCACGAAGGCGAAGAATTTCATCTTCGATAGCACAAAGCTGATGCCAAAGGGCAGCCCTATCAACGTTTGCAAGTTCGGCAACCTCCCTCATCATGCTCAGAACTGGTCTGACAATTTCCTGCTCCTCACATGCCAAGATTACCAAAATCTCCAAATCTAAATCTATTTCCCGATTACTTTCTGTTGTACTGGTGGCACGATCAACGAGTCTCTTCAGCATCCTCAACCTATGAGGCTCATCAGCATACCATTTAAACATTATCGTATAAATCATCTTCACAAACCCTCTTACGCAGGGATCTTTTGAAAGTGCCATTGTTTCCGCAAGGCTGATCACTGTAGAGAAATCATCTTGCTGGTGAGCTCTCAGGTGCTCAATCCTATCTCCTTCTACGGTCACATCAGTTTGATGAAAATTTTCCGTAACATACTGAGAGGCCGAATTTAATGGTCTAGAAAGGCGCCTTTCCAAGACCATGGCCATAGACTGAGCTACAACCACTCCCCGAGCAACACCTCTCTCAAAAATTTGAGCTGCTTCAACAGCAAGGCAAGGTATTGATAACATCTCAATAAGAATATAAATGTCCGAAAAATAATGATTGGCACGAGCATTTTGTTGATTTACTGCATGCATTCTTTCAGTGTTCCCACTCTCACCAAGTAATAATGTCCCACAGGGAACGGCCGAGCTATGGTCCCCTAAATCATTACTATCAATATCTCTCATAAAAGCTTCAGCAATGTCTGCACAACTATTTACAGTTAGGCATAAATAATCAAGGACGCAGGGGGAAACTTCAATCCCCAAAACTTTCAGCCTCGAACGGACTGCTCTAACCTGCAGAAAACACCAAAATAAAATAAACAAACAAAATATTAGAAGAAACTTACAAAAGAAGACCAAGAAAACGAATTCTCAGATTAAATTCAGTTTCCAGTTACTTACTGCCTGGGGAAGATGCTGGCAGTGTATTGCAGCTTTCAATATGAAGTCTATGGTAGCTTCAAGAGGTTCATCGTTCGAATCAGCCAAAAGCGCAAATGACTGGAAAAGTACACGTTCCCAAACTTCGCTATTACATTCCAACTGACTAAGTGCACCAAAAACCTGGAAAGATACAAAACTAGATAAATATTGGAAAATATACAGATTTTTGGACATTATAACAAGATGTACAAAAGATTGAAACAAATTATCCTACAGGCAAACGAAGACTGGGTTCAGCATCTGGTTTTTGAAGACGATCTAAAAGGGCACAAGCAACAAGTGGATGTTCTGAATGTTCAACCAATTTTGGCACCAACGAAACAAGATCTGGCTGCAGATGCTTAGGAGCTTTATCCAATACAAGAGCAATCTTCTGAGCAGATTGCGGCCTTCTTCGTGGTTCAGGACAACCTTGAGGAACGGCTCCATCAAGTGCTCTCAGTGAGTTCACAATCAATCCAAGAAGTTCTTCAGACTGCTCAGGCCATTTTGTCTGAATTAAGAGTTTCTTATTAGATAAGTAATAATTAGATGGCTCGCACTCAACAAGGAAGCGGCCAAAACCATATACAGGTCCGTACGGACAGCCCTTCAAACCCAAATGATTTTATATTATTCCTTGAACTTTGCATTTGGAAATTTAATTTTTTTGGTATTCCAAATAACCTTTCCACATTTCCAATAATACAAAAAATTGTAACTTACAATATTTATAAATTATAAACCCAAAACCAAAAACAAAAACACAGTCCATATTGACCCGTAAGGTTTTCATTATATTCCGAACATACCTTACTGCGGATGGGAGGATTATCCGAGAAACCAAGAGCAGAAGTTTCTGGTGGGCATATAGGCTGTTCGGCAACTGGCAACTCAGCTGTAGCATTTCCCTCTACATCAGAGCTCTGCACCGCAGAGGCAGTGGTGGACTCACCAATTCCTAAGTCCAATCTCTCATGTAAAGGTAATTGTGCTGACTCTTCAACTCCAATACCTCTATCTGATTCCAACAGAGTGGTCGACCCACTATCATCAAGCGAAGGTTTTGAGCTTATTTCTGATGAATCATCACCAGTACTTCCTTCGGAAGGTTGGCAACACTCTACCATTATATCTAGAAGTAGATCAATGATTGCCTGTTGCAAAACTTTAACTCCCATCAACATGTTCATCAGACTAGGCGAAGACGACTCGTCGTTCTTATTCGACTTCTTTCCGTCACGACAACCAGATATCTTTGTAGGCAGAAGCAAGCGCTTTACTTTAGCGGGATCATCAAGATACACACGAAGCCCAGTCAAAAATCCGGCAATAGCTCCTGCATCCATAAGAAGTTTTTCTCTCAAAGTGACCTGCGGTTGGGAAGGGTTGTCGCCATATGTGAGGTGAAATCCTGCCCGGGAAAGAAGATTCCGAAAGATGTCTTCCTCATCTCCACTTATCCCTTCACTATCCTCGGAGTCAATCAGTTCATCAGGATCAGTTGTCAGAGCATCCTGATCATCCTCGGAAGCCAAAACCTGGGCAAATAAATGAGATACACTAATCAATGGGCAAGTTGCATAAAGCAGGTTCATTCTTTTTTCTTTTCTTTTTTTTTTTTTTTTTGGGGGGTTGCGGGAAGAAGAGGAATCATAAAAGTACGGTTAACATTTTTCTTGGAGTGAATGCACGTTGAAAGGATCCTTCAACAATTCATTAATACAAACACAACAATATCAGTTTCTCTGACTTTTTGTTCAGACAGATCATATTGGCCAACATCCAAACCTATTAGCACCCTTAACAAAAGTTCTAGGCCTATTAGTTCTCATAGTGTTCCATAGATTAGTTTTTGGTTCTTCACGAGTTCTGTAGAAACTCAAGGAAACCAAATCGCGGACACCAGATCATATTTTTCACAGACCAGTGGGATTAGAAAAGCAAGACCAAGTGACAAATTACTAACCTCAAGGTCTGAAAACTCAAACCAGGGGCAGCAATCCAAGATCTCACAGACAAATACAACAGTATCCCGCAAAAGGAATCCCGCATCTGGTTCCACCATGTCCGACACTTTCATGAATTGAAGAACGGAATTATTCCATGTTTTAGTACAGATCGAAGACTCCTTCCAAACTGTCTTAGAAGGGTTCTTTTGATTCACAATCGCCATTCTGTATCTGACCCAGAAATTTTTATCAGGATCACTCCCAGCAGACTGATCACTCTCTAAGTAGATACAAATAGTGTCAAAGGACTCGTACACTCCTGCAGAATGAAGGTGAAAGACGCAATCAGTCAACTTGAAGAACAAGCTGCAGTAGTTGATACTAACAATCACAACAGAGAAAGAATATCAATAAAGGCATCGCAACCCACCAATCCGAAGTTCGCATCCACCAGCTTGAAAAAATTTGCTAAAGATTTTTCGGGTTTCCATTATTTCTTTAAAAGACATAAAATTTTCAACCTTCCACGTAAACGAACTTTTCTTCCCAAGTCTTTCAGATGAGAGAAGCGCATTTGGCTCGTATTCCTCATCAGTACAATCCTGATATATTGATGTTTCTTTTAAGATAAGGACTTCAGCATAGAAATGAACAACATCCTTGTCAAGAAACCCAGAATCCTGATCAAAGAGGCTTGTGAGCGTTACAAATTCCCGCCAACCCCAGTCCTTTGCAGCTTTGGAGTACCGATTCTGAGATTCCTTTGTAACAGATTTTTCCTCCTTTTGGTTTATGACAGATAACCGATGGCTCACAAAGCAACTCCAGTCGTTGTGAGTGTTGCGTGAATCAGTAACTTCTAGAAACACTGAAAGGTGGCAAGGCGGCTGAGACTGCCCTGATGCCAGGAAACAGAAAAAGGAACTCCACAGTTCAGTGAGAAGTGAAGGATACAACAACAAAGACAGACAAACTTCCTACACAAAATCTTAATCAAAGTTTCCAGCTGGAAGCTTTACCCAAATAATCTATTACCACCTGTACACAAATGTGTATGTGCATGTACGTCAATGACAAAAATTATGAATTTTTTGCAAAACTAACAACCAAGTTACTAATTGAAGCAGAGCTGCAATTTCAATATGGTAAACTAACTCAGCCTACATTTCAAAATAGAACAGCACAAGTTGCGGGTTGACACCTCGTCGACTGCTGAACGTAACTATGATATCAGGATTTATTAAAATTACCAGATATGGCATATTCAAAACTAAAACGGACAACACCCCAAGCAATTAGGATCATGACTTCTTGTAAGAGATAAACATGATCAGAAAGAACATTCAGACAGCAAAAGTTACTTAGAAAGTGCGACATCCTCACCTCTAGGATAAACAATAAGGCGACAATCCCGGTTACCAATCTGAAACCTCCTGCTCTTGATACAAAGCCCTGTAATCTTCCTCTTCTTAAGAAGATCCTTCAACCTTGTGAAATTCTCAATCTTCCAGCTAAACCTCCCAAAATGACCATCAAATTTCTTACTAACGAGATTCCCACTGTTCTTCCCAAACGCAGCATTCTGCTTAGGAGGGAGAACAATATTCTGTTCCCTTATCACATGAAAGGACGTACTAAACACCGCCACATCATCCACTAGATACCCAGAATCTGACCCCACAAAGTCCGCCATCTTCATATAGTCATTCCACCCCAAACTCGTATTATCCCCACTCTTATTATCGCCTGCAAACCTCCCGTATGAGTCCCTATGCACGTGATTAAGCCCGCCTGGCTTCTGATTCAGAACCGACATCCTAAACAAGCACCAACAACTCCTATCTGAAACCCCCGGTAAAGTCTTCTCAGTATCCTTACTCTCCAAACACATTGACAAATAATCGTTCCCGTTCACGGAGCTCTGGTACACACTAATCCTCAAATTACACTCGCCGGCTGGAAAAACCGGGCTCATTATCTTCTGTGTCTTGATCATTTCCTTAAACAAGCTAAAGTTATGGACTTTCCAAGTAAACTTCCCAGTCAAAGACGCATCCCCAGCCACATTTGCGGAATTGCCCCCTCCACCACCGGCGGGGGAACTCGTGGACCCCAACTCATTACTATTATAATAAGTATTCCCGTTTAATTCCCTCGAAAAAGATACGGACTCATTTAAAATCATAATATCCGCAGTAACTAATAAAAAGCACGTATCAGTATCCCTAGTATGATTAGAATGATTAGTAGTATTGAAGAACAAAAACCCTAGCTTAGGTTCTAAGATGGAGTTAGAGGGAGTGAAATCACACCAGCCGTGGGATTTCTTCTTGGAGGAGAAGCGGTGCCAGCTGTCACGGTGGATGGACTTGGAGGGGTCGGTGGGGTGCTGGATGGATAACCGGTAGCTGGCGAAACAATCCCATTTGGAAGAGGTGGTATTCCGGGGGTCCATGATTTGCAAATAGATGCTCACATAACCGGGCAGCGCTTGAGAATCACCCTTAGGGTAAATCAGTAACCGGCAATCGTAGCCGCCCACCTCGAAGTACTTGCTCCACAGAGCCCGGGCTTTCACTTTGGGGAAACTGGCGATGGCCCATTTGCACACCGCCGCGTACTCCCCTCGCCGTTCTACCACCACCGTCTCCGCCGCCGTCGAAGAGGTGGCGTCCCTGGAGAAGGAGGAGGTCGCAGGATCCTCCGCCGCCATCATGGTGGACGGCTTGTTGTTATTGTTGCTTTCATAAACCGTGGATTGCGTCGCAGTGACCGCCGCCGGCGACGACGACGACGATGCAGAAGGCAATGAATGGGCCGATGAAACTGAACCTGAACCTATCAGGGATTGTGAGGATTGTTCACAGTTAGAAGATGATGATGACGATGATGATGGGACAGCAGCATCACCGTAAGATGACGATACCTGCTGGTGGTGGTGGTGGTGGTGGTGTTTCATTTTTCCCCTTTTTCTTTTTTTTCTTTTCCTTTTTTCCTTTTTTGTGTAAATTCCTGTTCTTTTCTGTAGGAGGAAGAAGGATGATGGAGGGGGGCTGTTTAGGTCTTTAGGATCAGTTTGTGAGTGTGTGTAAAATTTGGATTTTTTTTGACAAAAGAAAAAAAATAAAGACTAGAAAATACTAAAAATTGACATGTAGTATAACAAAAATGCATATACTTACTGTTTTTTTTTATTTTTTTTCCTTCTTCTATGAAAATATCAGATGAAAGAAGAAAAGTATCAAAATGGGAGATGGGAAAAATGTTCTGATGGGGGGAAAAAAATAAAAATATCACATAGGCTTGCATATTGAATACAAACAACTTCGTTCTTTCTTCAACCCCCAATTAGGATTTAGGAGGGATTTGGACAAAACATGGTGTGTTCTCTCTTTCTTATTTCCCCTTTTAAGGTTTTATTTTTTTTCTAAATTTTAACTAGATACAGAAGAAATACTGAAGATATCATGTTTCATTTCATTTGAACAATTTAGTATTAACATTCCTACGTGTTTGGCCATGTCTAAAATATCTACTACCTTAAAACGAATGTAAATAGACTCACAGTTGGTGCATTACCAGTTTCCGACCTTCAAAACCTTAAAAGGAAAGCTTCCCTTGAGGAGCTTATAGATTTTTATTTTCATTTGTGATTTTTTTTTTACCTTAAACGTTGGTTGGAACTTGGAAGTTGACGGTGGCATATTGGCAGAGTTCCATTCACGGTCTCATGATCCAGACATTGGGTTTTGAGGTCAAATTCCAACACTCAGAAGAACATCACAAGCAAACTTGAAATACTCAACGGACTCTTTATATCCTCTCTTCCAACTGATTGATAACGGGAATGATTCTTTTCATAGATCCTTTACCATTACTAACTGAGAGATGCTCAAAAAGCTTTAACCTTTAAAGAAGCCTTTAACAAATCTAATAGTCAGGGTTGATGATAAAAAAAAAAAAAACACTCTCCTTTTATATACCAAAAAAAAATTGAGAAAGATTTAGTCAATCTTAAAAGTACACCACTAAGCAAGATGCTTGTCGACTGAACTGCTGGTAATGGCATTCCCAGCCCTATGCTTAAGCATCTTAAGCTTTTTCCTTTTTTGCAAAAGAGAAACTTAATCAGATAAAAGATTGAATTTGGGTACATTACTCAGTAATCAATCTTCAAAAATCTAAAGACTCTCCATCAGGTGAGAATATATAGAAGATGGGACTTTTGTACCCCAACCTTCCCTTTTCTTTTTGCACAAGACTCTTTTCAATTCCAAATCAATCACCAATTTCACAATGCTAGTCCAAATATTGTGAATTTTTTAATATAAAAACAATACTGATGTTCCTCAAGTTTCATCAATCTTTCACAATTCAACACTAGGAAGAAGATCCAGGAATGTGTACGTGGGCTCATCAACAAGATACAGCAACAAAACATTGCAAATTCCCTCCAAACTTGCAACCATCATGATTGAATTGTCACTCAAAACACAACTCCATTTCTCCTGCACAACACAACTCATATTTCTACACCAAAAAGGTACATCTGGAGAATTACCAAAAGAATAAATTATGCTTTTAAAACCTTAGTAACTGCAGCAAGTCAAACCAGGTACAAGAAGCAGTTGTGCCCTGATTAAATTACATTGGCGTATTAGGAACGATCATAATACGCAAGTGGAAGACATTCTCACAACCAGATTTTGCAACATGTATTGGAGAAACTGAGCCAGCCAAGATGAACATCCCAGAAAAGGAAACAAGATTTCTCCAGTAATGATGTAGTTTTCACTTCAGACAAGAAGGAAGTGTCAGCCCATGACAGACAAAAGCCAAAACAGCGTAAACTATCACAAGGAGGAGAACGATAAGAGCAACTCTGCAAAAAATAAATAAATAAAATCAATAGAATTTCGTATGGTAACAACTAAAGAGCAGAAAATGTTTGTGATCTATATAAAGTTTATGGCTTGAAGAATATAGGTGGTCATTCTGAAGATCAAGAATGGTGTCAACAACAGCCCCCATCGCCACCCACCGGGAGAATAAGGATTCATCAGTGGGCAGGTATCAAGACCAGTATGTTGTCTATAATCTAGATTGTGGGATTCACAGACCACTATAACAATGGTCCTCCTGAAGGACAGAAAAATATTACTCCATGACAGAACAAATCAGTGAGGAATCAATGAAGTTGTTCTTAACGTTAAAATCTAATCACGGAAGTGAAATAGTTCTGAAATATGCAGCCCAAACAAACAACTGCCATCCCAATAAAAAAAAACCCTGATAATCTGCAAATATAGACGCGGTTGACCCTCCCAGAGAAAAAAGGCAGAGATGTATCTTCCAATACGAAAGCTTATAACTTTGCTTCAATAACCACAAGAAACAAAAAAACGAAAAACAAAATTTAGTCCAGGGACACATACGTGAGCTTGACGTTTCTCCACCACACGGTGCTTCGAAATCTCCGAGCTTGCTTCCTGAAACGGAAAGTGTTTCCTTGCATGTTTGCGGTTTTATCAACTAGCAATTCCAATCGATCACCTCTCTCCAAAACTTTGTCAATATTCTCTATCATAACATTGCGTACCTGATTTTAACACAGAAATTTGGATGAATACAAAAACATGTAAAATGAGGGAATTCAGCAAAAGAAACTACTTTAACGTTCCAAACTTTATTATCAACGTCAAAGACAGTCCACAAATACAAAATGGACTGGGATGATGTTTTTGCCAGAGGCAGTCAGCTTAAAGAACTTATTTTTAGCATTTCAGACGTATTACCCTAACACAACCACTCTTATTTGTAGTTTTTAAGTGTATCAAAGACAGGTTAATTTTTCTCTAGCAATAACATACCCGATATAGTGCAAATAAATACTAATTAAAAAGAAATAGATGAGAAAGATTTGATGGTGAAGATATGACAGCCTGTGAGTTGATGAGAATTGAGATTATAATCAAGCGGACAAGAAAACGGCAGAGAAAATATCAACAAGACTTTAGGGTATAAACTAACAAGCAAAAAGCTTTGTCTTTCTGATGACGAACTTCTCACATAAATTTGAAACTCACCTGACTCATTTCACCTTTGAGGCGGTTTATCCTGTCTGCATTTGGATCGTTTGAGTAGTATTCCATCTGCTGGCTAAGAACTCTGGAAAATTCATCATTCATGGCGTAAGCTTGAGCTGACAACACAGCCCTGCCATAAGTCCTCACAAACCTCTGATGAATTTCTTCAAGGAAAGCGAAAGGGATCCTCCCTGCAGATATGTTCAACACATAGGAATTTAGAATAATAACAAAAAAATTTCTGCCATGAAGACGATGAATTTCTAGAAGCAAAGAGATACAACATTAGGATAGCCCTCACAACAAGCCATGACCTTTGATCAGATTATCATCATCACGTGAAAATTGAACACAGATATAGGCAGTTGAAAAAAAAAAGTATCTGAACCACATAAAATCGAGAATGTAACTCAGGAAAACAAAGCTCTTCAGCTGCCTGTTATTCTTCTTCAGTCTTAAACATATTCTAATGAAAATCCCCCAAAAAGTTACTGAAATCAAATTACATCCCCCGTTTGATGATATGACGAAATTCCTGCAATTTGGAAGGGAGAAGTTGATGACGCCACATTATCAATTCCAAAGTAAGAACCATCAAAGGTCAAAATCAAAGGAAAGAGGTAAACCAAAAAAATTTGGCTCCCCCAACAACAGAAATGCTTAAGTCCATTTGCACGCAGAACACAATCATAATTAGAAACTAACACAAACCCCCTAACAACAACTTCAGTCCTATTCCAAGTCCTACCCGAAATTGAATCAAAATCAGAAACTAATCAAGGAAAATACCGCCATCTCATTAAAAAAATCAGCATAAAATAAACTCAATAAAGCTCAAAACAAACCCTCAACAAAAATTAGCATCGTCCTGTAGATACGAACTAAAAAAGGAGGCTCCTTTACTACTTTCTATCCATAATTCAATTGGCAACGAAAGGAAGAAAGAAACCTCGGGAATCCAAGGCGTAAAGATTAAAGGAGAGATAAAAGTGAGGGGCATACTTCCGGCGGTTTCGTCGGCCATACAGAGAACGGTGAGGCCATCGGTGCGCTTGACGTGGAAAATATAGCGATCTTGGGAATAAGAAACGTTAGTGTCGTTGTTGCCGGGGATTTTGTCCAGGATCTGCCTGGCTATGGAGCTAGCATTGGTGGAAGTCGCGCTGAATTCCGCCAATATCACCGAACCCCTGGCCACAAGCGCGTACAGTATCGCCATTTGATCGGAATACGGGAAACCTCGGACCGGCAATTCTCCCTGTTCCCGACCTTTTGTTCCCCCTTTTCCTCTTTTGGCCCGTCGGAAGTAATTTTAAACCGTGTTTTAAAGTTTTGAAAATGACAGGTGTTTCATATTTGATTGGGGTCGTTGACTGCAACTGGAAACTGGCCTCTCCTCTCCATTTACAATTTTACATCTATCTATTAAAAGATTTGTTTGGGTAATAATTTTTTAAACTTTGGTTAATCACATCAACGCCGCCAAGGTTTATGAAAAATACCAAATGTCCCTACATTTTGAAAAAATTAACAGCATGCTATGATATTAGTAACATTTGATAACTCTTGAATTGCTAGAAGATTTGTAACCAATACGAAGACATAATCAATCACGTGAGCATGATGTTTATTGAATCTGCTGCAGCCTTGTTAATTCGCCTTAATAAGTGAATATTGTGTATGGCTGGGAGAAAATATGAATAAATATCGTATACTCTCTCTCTGTACCAAAATTATTTTCCAGTTTGAAATTTCACTTTTAGCACAATTTGAACTAGAAATGAAAACTCAAACGGGACAATAATTATGGGACGGAGGGAGTATATATATATACTTAATATAAAGCGGCAATCCGCTTTTTTGACGCGGTTAAGTCCAAGTTTCAGGTTATTTTAGCTGACGTGGCATTTTTCCATTCGATCTCTCTTATTCCTTCTGCCGTTTCCCCCAAGCAATGCCTCCGGTTGCCCGCAACAACATCAACCAGTAGAAGGGTATTTCAAAGTAGGCAACGGTAGTTGCAGCGGCGACGGTTTCTTCTGTTTAAATTGCTCTCTTCTCAAAGGCGTGAACTTTCTTCCTCCATCCTATGATTTTCAATTTTCTAATTTGAATTCTTCGTCTGAATGGGATGCAAACGAATCGTTTTCGTTTTACTTAATGCTGCCTAGATTATGGAATTTGAAGTCAATAGGTTTTTTTACCCCAAATTTCTCCTCATATCTGTGCAGTTGTGCAGTGGCGGCCCATCGTGTTTCTTCTCCTCTTCCTTTTTTTGTGTTGTACAGCAAAAAGGGGCTTCAACGAAGTTAAACATTCGTGTTTTCAAGGGATTTCAAGGAACATGATTGGGTGATTAAAAAAACGCATATGATGGAAGTTTTCCCGTTTTTTGGGATTTTACTCTCATTGGACCTTTACTTTGCTCTGACTTTTTCGCGGCCAATAATGCCGAAGGTGGTTGTTGCGTATATATTATTGTAGTTCTTAGTTCGGACTGTTAGAATTGTTTCCAATTAGGTACTAATTTAGATCTCACATGATTGCTATAGATGTTGACCTTAAAGTTCGAAAATTTGTCATAGTTTGATGTGGATCAAGTATTTCATTTTTTGCGCAAGAGAAGAATTTTTGTTTTTCAGAGTTGTATCCAGCTAAATCGTACTCTATATGTTGTGGGTAATGAGACTTTCTCCATTCTGATACAATCTTTTTTATGATTCTACCTTCGCATTTGTGATATGCTGGAGAAAGAAGGTGTTGGTGTCATGAACAATGGGAAAATAGGTTTGATGGGGCAGAACTTTGAATATAACCTTTAAAACTGGCAGGATTAGCCCTGCAAAACTCTTAGACTTGCACCTGTAAGTGATGTAGAAAAGGAGTCCCGTATATTGATCAATGTAACTGTAAATGTTTTATTTTTAAATTAAGATGTTTGGCAGTTGCTTATCCAATATGTGCTGACACCTTCTTTACGCTCCAAACGTCTTTACCCGTACATGGTTTTTTCTTCCATAGAAATTTGTTAGAACAAAAAAATTACCGTATGAAATTCAATTAACAGAGTTTCTTTTCGTTTTGTGCTAGGAAAGTTGTTCAGTTTATCGCTATGATCCTGGTTTACATTGGTTTGTCAGTTTTGTCATTAGGTTTTGGTCGTTTGAAATTTGAAAGTGATTATTGTAATAAGGCCCTTGTTTTAGGGTTGCTGGAAATTTGGAATTGATAATTGCAGTAAATGAAAGTTCATTTATCTTATCTGTATAAAATCGTCATGCCAATTCTAATTGTGTTGAGCCTATAGAAAGTCCATAGTGTTCTACTTTTATCTGATGGAGTCGACAAGAATTCCAAATATGAAGTAGACAACCTCCTTGGAGATCCTAACTTGAAGAACTCTCAGATATGCTCGGATAATGACAACCGAAAGAAAATTCTATTGAACAACGTATAGAAACAAGAAATACTTGCGGTAAATTGTTCATGTTTTGATTCTGGAAGTAGAAACATGATTATTTGTCATTGAAATGAACCATGTTTACTGAATTATAACTTAGATAACTCATTGATACGAGCAAATGAAATGTGTGCCAAATCTTTAGTTACAAGACACCAGATTAGAAATGTTTGCCCACTTGTATTGTTTTAAAAATTTGTTATCATTTGATCTTTTTTCCTCCTTTGTTGTATTGTATTCACAAATAAAAAAAAACCCCGGCTCGGGTCACAACACACACCTATGGACTATGATTGTGTGGATCACTTTCCGTTGTTGCTCTTTTTAAGTCTTAATATACAGGTATCTTTTTGTAAAAAAAAAAACCCGAATGTTGTTCTCAACTCACAATATTCATTCAATTTCAACAACACTTTGTTTAAAATGAACCGTCGAATTGTACTTGTGAGTATCGATATTTTTGTATTTTGCATCATTTTGTTGATCCATGTACAATTAATTATGTTCATGACCTTGTTATCATTTTGTATAATTATTTATATTTATAAAGAATTATAAAAAATTTGCTACACTATGGACATTCTTGTAGTGGGACGCTCGTAGGGCCGGTAAGGCGTCCACCGATTGGGCCCCACAGTCAGTGAAAATGTCCTAATCAGACGCTTTTCTGCATATAGAAGCATTTAGGATGAACCGATTGGGCGCTGTCGCCGGACCCCTAACCAGCCAGACCCCTTTTTTTTTAAAAAAAAAAAAAAGTTTAAAAGGTGGGAAATGTTACTTTATTTGTCGTAGATTTTCGTCTCCACCAAGACATATTTCATCCTCCATTGTTGTAGTCTCCGGATTTAAGATTTTTTATATTTTTTTTTAAGTTTGAAAGAATTTGGAGAGGTGGAAGAAAATGGTTTGTGAAGGGTAAATATGTGTAAATGAGACGTTACATAGGATTTAGAGGGCTACAAATAGCATACTTAAATGTCCTTTATTGAATTTGATTTTAAGTGAAGGTAAATCAACGTGGCAACAAAATTTGAAATGTTAGCACTTAGGTGGGAAGTACAAGTAGATAAATAAGCTCTGGTTTTTTTTTTTGAAGAAAATCTTCTATACAGCTGTTATATCACATAGGATTGTGCAGCCAGACACATGAATAGGACAAGATTATAATTTTACCGAAAAAGTTACCACAAAATTAGGGAGCCATGATATTTTTCTGTATAACGGGTGTGTTACTGCACTAAAAAAGGATACACTTACTGTATGGAATAATTTTTCTTGTGTTTGGGCTTTCATCATACTCATTACGTCCCTCGAAAATAAATCGCATTATAAATTGTAAATTGTACTTATTTGTTGAATAGAGGGAGCACTAAATAAATAAACAAAAACGTTTTATGAAATTGCATGTTGGAAAACGGAATTGGGTGGATGGGCCACATAGAACTCCTCCACTCAGATCCACTATACAACCCAGATCCGTACATTGGAAAAGCCCATACCAATATGTCATTTTTCTTTTTACTTATCCCAATATTATACACAGGATGAAGAGTTGTAAGGAAAAAAAAAAAAAAAAACTGAAGAGTTGTGTGGTAATTGCCCCAATTGTTAAACTATTGTATTACATTGGTAAAGAACACCAACAATATCGTTTTGTAACTATGAAATTAAAACCGTCAGCATTGCATCTATTCCCATAGACACTAAACTATCTACCAATATATATATATATATATATATATATATATATATATATAGAGAGAGAGAGAGAGAGAGAGGGGGGACGTTACACAATATACCGACCACTCTTGCTTCAACAATTAGTGAACTGTCACCACCAGTTCATACGAGTGCTTCTCTACACCATCTACCATCTTTGTTATATTTAGATTACCGTCATATGCAATGATATTCTGTATACCCAACTCCCAACTTAGATACAAACCTTAGAATAAATCTAATAACTCATCGTCCATGATATGGCAGAAACCAATATTTTATACAAATCCACCACACTAACCACCTCAATGGTCTCTTAATAAACCAATATTTCACTTTGACGACACATCGTCCGTGACGAAACATGGTTGCACTTCTGGTGCAAGCTTTGACAGCTTGTTAACGCCATACCATTTTGTATTATCAAGCATTTCACTGTACATTCACAAATTTTATATTACATTCCGTGTTATATATAAAGGTCTTATGTAATTTTAGTTGATGGTAACGGACGAACCCATTTCCAATATCCACGCAATGACTTCTACTGCATATAATTAATTGTTTTCTTAATCCACATGAAAGAAAAAAAAAAAGACATGATTATTTGAAAAAATAAAAAATGATACAGTAATAACAAAAATACTGTTTAATAGAGCCCCTATATGCAACATTGTACATATATATCCGACCAGAAACGTACAAGCAATGCCCAGAGTGAATTTTATCCTTCCAGCTATATGTACACTACTTGATTGAGTTGATTCAATTATTGAAATCGATATCACGGACAAAGAAACATCAGCTGGAGCTCCCATCTTTTTCCTGGCTCTCGAAAACTGCTTCAACTGCAATTTGCCATATATACGGCTTTAAGTAGTACGTAAGTAGGGTTTCCCAAATCCGAAGGAGGTTAACTAATGGAAACCCCATATGAGTTTGACTGATTTATATATATATATATATATATATATATGCGCGATTTACGTTGTTTTCCTTGCTTACATGAATATTATGTAACATCAACAAATCTACCATTCTGCTGCCAAAGATGTTTCACGTTATCACACAGCTCACTGATGAAAAGACATCAACCTCAAACATGCATGCATCAACTTGGAAATAAGTCTTTGAGTTTAATTTGAGATCCATTGGTCCAACGAATACTAAAGAGAATTTAAATTGTTGATCATCAACTTTCAAAGTGTAAAGCCAAATTTTAATAAAAAAATACAATATCAATAGTCTCTATGTGATTTTTTTTTTTTTCCCACCGATCTTGATGGGCGCAAATCAAAGCGTCATGAAGTTTGAGCTAGCTAGCATAATATGGAAGGGGTAGAGTTCGAGGAATGATCTGGATTTGGATAACGTAGCACCAATAATATTGACGCAACATTGGCCTTCAAAATCTGAGCTCAATCAAGCTAGCCACAAACACACACACACACACACACACATATATGTTGTTGTGAATTTCCCTGGAGCATAATTTATTAATTTTAATGTGCAAAAAAAAGGGTCACATGAGGGCTCTTAGTAGGTACTGTTTGTCCTCTTCCAAATGGCCACATTATTCTGGATCCATAAAACATCTCATTTCACAAATACCATGCACATGCAATATTGCCGTAATCTACACATCCAAACACACTGTGCTTTAATTTCCCCACAAACTAACAAAATTGTCCAACTGGGTTGGTTGGCTCCAACACAATATATCAATCCTTCCGGCCATTACACATATATTGAAGGCGCATCAGTTAGTAGTATGTGTCGGTCGTAATAGTACTATCACAATTATAAATATACTCGATGAAAAAATGACACATTTATTAAGATGAAGAACCAATTTTATTTAGTCTGTAGCACACAAAACAGTGTGTTATTTTACATTCGTATCAGTTGTAAGGAAACATGCATTGTCTCTGGAAACCTTCATTTAAGCTTCAACCCAAAAATGGAGAGCTAGCAAAGTGCCTGCCATTAATTAAGTGCTCTAATTAACCATTCATAATCTAGTTAACAGGATAATATACACAAAGTACGTAGTATATATAGTTAGTTACGATATCCAAATTAACGAATTATGAAATCCAACAACGGGGTACGTACACACCATTATATTAAAATAAAAAGAAAGATGAGGAGGATGCATGGATTGGGGGGAAAAACCTACAAAATATCATCTTCCCATTCTGCACAAGGACGACTCTCTTCCACTCAATAGGAAAAGGCTACCTATCAAGGATCCCAACAAGCAATTATTCACCTCACAATTCTCCCCTCTCCCATGTGTTTGTGTATATATAGGTCACCCAGCTCCTCCTAAGTTCCTCCTAAATTGTTAACTACCCCCTGTAGCTTGGTACTGCATATATATATATATATATATATATAGCGCGCTAATAAATTAATTAACAACATACATACATAGAGCATGGCGGCATCCACCCAAATGAAGAAGGTGGTGCTCATGATTTGGATCACCGCCCTCTTGTGTTCATCCGCAGTGATGATGACTAGCGGGTGCGGGACTTGTGAGCCAATGAAGCCCAAGCCAAGCCCGAAGAAGGCGCCACCGGCGAACCCATTTTGCCCAAGGGACACATTGAAGCTAGGTGTGTGTGCTGACATTCTCGGGTTGGTCAACGTCTTGGTCGGAACCCCGCCATCTGGAGCTAAATGCTGTGCACTTCTGGAAGGCCTGGCTGATCTGGAAGTCGCAGCTTGCCTTTGTACCGCCATTAAGGCCAACGTGCTGGGGATTAACCTGGACATCCCCATTGCCCTTAGCGCCCTTGTTAGCGCCTGCCAAAAGACCATCCCACCGGGCTTCCAGTGTGGATAGATTCACACGCACACACACGTTCTTCATTCATTCATATGCATCCATCCATCCAAATTCGTTACTTAATTATGTCGTTTTAAACACACTTACGAGTATCTGGTCTCGCAGGTGGTATTAAAACGCCATAATTTTATTTTACGTTCTTTGTTTCTTTGTTTTTTTTTTTCCTCCTCCTGAGACTGAGGATTTAAGTATCCACAGTCGTCTAATTTGCCATTGTTGTTGTTGTTACGTCGTCCTTTGTCGCCCGTCAACTATATTGTTGCCTGGCGCTACATTTCTTTGTTGTTTTTGTTTTGTTAATGATTGGTGTATTAATACTTTGTGTTGTCATCTATTTCTAGTTCATTCTTCACTTCTCTGTGTGGGTAACTGTCATATATATATATATATATATATATATATATATATATATATATATATATATCTTCGCGATATATTCTTTTATTTTAGTTTGTGATCTCATGCTTTATTAATTTTTGTTTATATATCTATCATAGCAAAAACGGTCGCATTATTATTACTCCCTCTGTCTCAAAATTATTGTCCAATTTAAGATTTCACTTTTAGTATAATTTGAAATAAAAATGAAAACCCAAACTGGACAATAATTATGGGAAGGAGGGAGTACTATAATATGTATACGGCTTTCACTTCACGGCTGTGTTTAGTCTTGATTTTATTTGAGAATTTAAATGTTCCGCGAACACTTTGAATGTAAATTAATTATTGTGGAAAAAACTCATCCCCAATGGAGAATTTTATTTTGATAAATGACTTCAGGTGAATGATATGAAAATAGTAGAAAAACAAACTGGCCACACCAACCTTAATTTGCTTTTTTTTTTTTTTCCTGTTCCGTTTTCGTTTTCCCCCTTTTCCCAATATTAAATCAGATGGCTAAGCCCATAAATTAATTAAACCAATCATCAGTATGTTAATACCTAATACTCCCTCCGTCCATAATTATTGTCTAGTCTGATTTCTTTTTTTTAAGTATAAATTGTGTTACAACTTACAAGTAAAAATTTAAATTGGACAATAATTTTGAAACAACGGGAATAACAATAATTATTCAATGTTGAATTAATTGGACCAACAAATACTATATATATAAAGAATAAAAGATGAAGAGATAGATAGAAGAACGCACTTAATTTGTTGGTGAAAAATGTTATATTTGGATTCCAGAATAAATGAACTATTACACTTTGTAAATGAGTTATTATTTGATTGTAATAAGAATGAGAATATTTTCCATTCTCATATTACATGTCGTCCAACTTTGAAAGCCCTCATAAAAGTATAAAACATGCGCACGATATATTTTTGTTAATTCTTCAAATCAGACCGATTATAGCTTGACGACAAGTACTAGTCTGTCTTAAAATATTATATTTCTCATTAATTTTTCAAATAGGTACAAAATGTGGACTTCTTTTTCCTTTGAGAATTACGCTCACTTCACATTCCTCCTATACATTGTACACAGTACATATACTTTATTCTTATACTTATTGATATATTGTTAAGATTTTCTGTTCTAAAAAATATTTACATTAAGTATTAAAATTTATACTAAAAATGACCATACAAGATTTAAGAGTTAATGTTAATATTTGGCGCGGGGGTTGGGGGCGGTGTGCAAAAGCAATAATAATATACCTTACTTCCAAGTAACAAACAAGCACGCATATTTGAAAGTGACTTTAAAATGAATGCCAAACGAGTCACCTTCCTTACCATTATCTAATTTCCTCTTTATTTTTTTCGTCTTTAGCCTTTTCTCTCTTTTCAGTTGCGTATGTTTTTCCACTAAACAACAGACTAGCCAGCACCCAACGTTATTTGCAATTTTAAGACCATAAAAAGGTGATAACCTATTTAGTCTCGGTATATTGAGCAACACTCCAACACCTAGATAACATTAAAAATCAAATGAAAAATTAATATGATCTTAATTATTAACTTCTTTTTATAATTTCAACTCTAATACTCTTAAATTAACAGATTAAACAAAAAGATCATATGAATAGATGAACATGACAGCATAAGGATGAAACTAAAAGACACATTTTGATTTGTCAAATTTTTAAGAACTTGTATTCCCCCAACAGAAAAGAAAAAACAAAAGGAAAAAAAAGGGAAAAGGAGAAGAAGTATAAGGTAAACAACAGAACAAAAAGAAAAGAAACATTGGGATTTGTTTGGATTCAAATTATGTTTTTTTTTTTTTTCAGTTTTTCATAATTTTTTTGTTTCAATTAAAATCTTGATTCATAGTACTTTCTTTCTTCCAGAAAAATAATTCAAATTGAGTTTTGTGATTTGTAAATTAAATTTTTTGGGTAGAGACTAGACTACTCTCTCTGTCCCAAAATTATTGTCCAGTTTGAGACACTACAACAAAAATGAGTAGTTTAGACACTTTTTTGTGTCTTAATAAGTGGTGTAATAGGACACATGTGACTCAAATTGCGTGGGACACTACTAAATAGTGTCTCCTATAATCGAGTCGCAATAAGTCATAAAACATTTGAAAGTGTATTATTAGATTGTCACTCATTACCACACTTTAAAGTGACCCATTAAGTAAGGTAATAGTTCACAAGCAACCCGAAATAGTACACTTATGATAGTGTTTCATAATATGAATACACTTTTTCATTTTCAATAAGACACTTTTTAGCAAATGTCCTAATACACATATAATAAGCCACATTTTAGGAAGTGTCCCACCATAAAAGTATTAATAGCCCATTTTTGTTGTAGTGAGATTTCACTGTTAGTACAATTTGAACCAAAAATGAAAATTTAAACTGGACAATAATTATAGGACGGAAGGAGTATTTTGTTTTGTTTTGTTTTGTTTTGTTCCTTTTCCTCTCCGGAAAGGAGGTAAAAATAAAATTGAAAAAAGGGATATAAAAACAAAAAAAAAAAAAAAGCAAAACCAAACGTAAAGTGGGTGAGTGACGCACCCGGCACTCTGTAGCATTCATCGATGAGGTTACAACCTTATCGTGCGCCGCACCGAATTTCCCTTGTTTTTCCAGTCCGTCATTCATCAACGACAACAGAAGTAAAAGACCGGAGACCCAAAAACCCAAACAAAAGAATTTACAAAATCACATCTAAATCGACATCCTAATTCAAAATCCTCTTAATCCATCCCCAATCCAGTTCATTACTATACCCATAATAATTGAGAAACAGTGGTAGTCTTTTCTTTTGATTGAAAGAATCCCAGTGAAGGGAGGAGGACGATGCAAAGGCAGAAGCAGATGCAAAGTCCTCCAAAGCACCGGCATGATGGGACTTCTCCTCTTCCTTTGGGAATGGATTGGAGCCCTCCTCCTAAAAAATGGGTACATACTATTTTAAACTTTTTTCCCCTTTAAATTATCAGTGGAAAAAGATCGGGCCTTGATCTCTCTAATTTCCTGTTTCTTCAGTTTCTTAATTTGATCGTGGTCCTGCCGGATTAAATATATCTGACTGTTTACTTGATTGGGTATTTGGTTTTTGACGAACTTAGTTGATCATACTCAGAATAAAGTCTCCAACTTCATAATATAGAGCTGATGATTTAGCTTCAAGCACTTTAAAACTCATGATCAATATGTTTGATTTCGGAATCTGCATGCTCACAGTTTATGCAGTTGTTTGCTTAATCTTATTGGCTTTGGGAGCTGAAGTTTTAGCTCAGAGCCCTTTTAAATTCATGATTAATGTGTATGATTTATGAATCTGCTTACTCGGTATTGGCCTCTGTATTGGAAGGTTTGTTATGGTAGTAAATTAGTGATTGATCCCTTGGAGAGGCTCCTACTTCATGGCCTGGAGGTGAAATCGTTGTACTTTTGTTGTTTAAAAGTAGGTTTTTCACATGGGAAATCTTTTGAGTTTCTAGCATAGAGCGAAGATTTTGATTTGAAGGCCTTATTTTGGTATTATAGGAGGGAGCTAGTGATGCGGGCTGGTTGTTTGTGGTTGCCCTTCTTATTTTATTTCTTTTGGTTGTTAAGTATGGTACAATGATCCTGAAATGATATTATGTGAGAGTGTGAAAAAACACTGTGACATACATTACACGTGACAAATTCTTTTCCCCTTTATCTCTTATAATCCACTGATGAGAATGCTTGTAAGGAGAATAATTGCGTGTGATGTACGGCTTAACTCTTTCCATTTGTTGATATATACTTTTGGATTTAGCAACATCATAATGCATAATCTGTTTTGCATACCTTAATATATGTATTTGTCTCTGCTTTAGCACTAGCAAATCAGCATTTAGTGATGTTGTTCATTGATATTCATATCATCTCTGCAGAACGGGCAGGAAACTGTTTGGCCGCATGATCCTCAAACGGGATGGAGTTATTGCGTTACCATTCCTTCCTGGGTTATCCGTCCGAAATCAAAGGATTCCGACCCCATAGTGGTATTCAAATTGCTTAACTATGCCAAGGGTTAGAAGTTCATTTAATGCAATCCTTTTGAAGATAGATACTTCCAACTTTCCTAGAAAAGCGCATGTGTTTCCAATTTTAGGTTACGTCAAAGCAAAGTTTGTGCTTGGGCTAGGGATAATTCTCCTGTTTATTTGCTAGAAGGATGAAAAGCAATTCCATAAAAATTTATATGGATTAATAGCCTTAAATCATAGAGAAAAATTACTGGATAAGTGATGCATTGCCCGTCCTCCCTTTACAATGTTGTGTGCTTCAGTTCATGAGTAGAATTTCCTTTTAATTAGTCAAAATAACTTCTTAGCTCTTTGGAAATTTTAATATTGTGGGTATGATAGAAGTTATGGTTGCTAGGTCTTCATCGCTTTTCATTATTAGATCTAAGAAGTATATATTCAATCATTGAAAATTAGGGGATGCTGATTGTTATTTGCCTTTCAATTTACTAAGAATGTAATTTTTTAACAAATTGATTGTCTCGTTGAAGCGTTATTTTTTAACATTAATATATGAAGATTTGTCTGTCCAATGTATTTGACATTATTAAGGGGCAGTTTTACAGGGTTCTGATTGGCTTGCAATCACCAGAAGGTTTTACGACGACTCGATACGTGTTAAGAAGATTTAATGATTTCTTGAAGTTTGTTTCTGCTGTAAGTTCAACCTTTTTCTTTCTTTCTTTTTTTACTTCTCTGCCTGGCAAGGTCTCTCTGCATTATGTGATATTTCTTGCCTGGAACAAGAACTGTAAACTATCCAAGTGCAATGCTACAATAAGTGTCACCAAATTATTATGTTTCTTGAAGCACATATGGATGGCCGAAGAGAACGATGAGAAAAAGCAGTACTATGGAAATTAATAATTACTGATTTCTATAAAGAGGATAAGGAACTGAAATTGGAACTTCGGTAAAATCTGCTGCTGGATGTATTTACCGCAAAGGATAGTTGAACAAAATTGAACTGGGATATGCCATAGAGTGTATTAAGTCTTACAGCAGAGAGGTTCTATTTTCAGGCATTGTCATGAAGTAATTTGATTAGCTGGCTTTTTAACTTGTTTACCTCCACTATAATTAAGTTATATTAACCAGGGTTCTTTCTGTGTCTAATGGAGTCATATGATTAACTCCTGTCCCTATAGATACCTGTCCTTTCTGCATTATTGCTTGATATAACTAAATATGTTAAACTGATTTTGGTTTGTTTTACAGCTCAAAACTGCTTTTCCCCGGAAGAGTCTACCACCGGCACCTCCAAAGGGTCTTCTTCGAATGAAAACAAGAGCGCTGTTGGAAGAGGTGATCAGTTATTTTATGGTCTTTAAGTCCATCTATTTGTAGCATGTGTTTCTTGTTCTTGTTTAGCTTTCAGTTATTGTTGAATTTGGGTGGTAGTGCTTTTTAATTTTTATTTCTTCGATGTCGAACATTACTTTGGTGTTAACTCCTGACAATGGCTCATCGTTGCAATTTAGTCTTGCTTGTTTGTTGTAGTCTATGTTTTTCCTTTTCTTGTAGATTAGTTCATGAAAATGTTTGCCCTTTTGTTAATAATGGATTTAAATTGATAGTAATGGATTGTACTGATCCTTTCCATGATATCCCCGAAAAAGTTAATTTTTGAACCTGTTCTGCAATTTTGTTTATATTTTTGGGATGCGCCTTTGGATGAGACTGCAGTATGTCTTCCTTTGTTGAAATTCTAATTGAATCCCCGTATAGCTGTATTTAATTTGAATGAATCATTGAAGATTTAACTGTTCTTGTTTTGTGGCAGAGACGGCGTTTGTTGGAAGAATGGATTACAAGATTGCTATCAGATATTGATGTATCAAGAAGCTTTGTTGTTGCGTCATTTCTGGAATTGGAAGCTGCTGCTAGGTCTTGTATGTGCCACTGATGTACAAGATATATGCTTTTGGAATTTTTATTGTGAATATTAATTCTAGCTGATGCTATTATGTGGACATATCTTTTGCATTATTTTATTGCTCATCTTTATTTTTGAAAGTTGGGTTTAATCTGTGTTTGCAGCATTCCGAGATGAGAATCTGCAGTCATCTCCAGCAATTACTTCTCCAAATAGTGCTTCAATTTCCTCATCTCAAGTGCATCTTAATTCAAATTTGTCTACTCTGCCTGGTAGTTCTTCAGTGACATCTGATTATGGTAGTGACACTGCATATGAGGCATCTGAGGTTGGAACTGCAAGCCTTGGTCAAGATAACAATTCTGAGATTGGGATAGAGGATTTGTCTCTAGATGAAGAGTTGACTAGCCCAATAGATAAGTTTATGAAGTATGGCATGTCCAATATTGACGAAGGCTTGTTTATGGGACAGGCTATACTAGAGCAACTCGAGGGTTTCCCTAGTAAACATAAGTTGCCTGCTGGAGCTGTTCAAAATGCCCTACGTAGTGATAGCAATAATGAAAATGGCTTCCATGGTCGAGAAATCTCTGCTGAGGGCTCTGAAAGTGATGTTAGCTCTCAAAAGGGCAGTGAATCTCCAAGTCTAGCAACGCGAAGTGTATTTGAAAATGGGGCTGACTTCTCAAGAACACCTGACGTTCTTGGAAACTTAGATTTACGTCTGCCAGATGATGTGCATTTGGTGCTTCCACAAGATCAAGGCCAGAAAATGAATAGGGTACTTGCAACCATGCAGAGGAGACTTGTTACTGCTAGGACTGACATGGAGGATCTTATATCCAGGTTAAATCAGGAAATTGCTGTGAAAGAGTATCTCACAACCAAGGTCTGTAGGAGTTTGAAGCCATGTCTCTTTTTTTATTAAATTATTATTATTATTTAATATTTATGTGAGTGACCTTGAATTTTGAAGTATCAGTATTAACACACCCATATAGAGAATTAGGTCACTGCATTTATGTTTATTTCTCAGAGTGGACTAAAATAAGTCTAATTGGGGTCTTTCCCGATTCAAAGGCTCCAAAGTATCTAAACTACTACGATGGTCGAGAAGGTATAGCCCCTTTTTAATAAATTTTGGAAAACATCTGGCATTTAGATCTTAACTTGAAATTTTTAAATTCCATTTTTAATTTTATGGAACTTATCCCTAAGGATGTGCTTTAGATGGTTAAAGAAAAATAACTGTTGAAAATATGTTGCTACCAGTTTTATCAGCTTCTGTGAAGTCCATCCATGTCAAAGCAGATGCGAGTATGGTACAAGACATTGCTGAGAATAGAGGCTAGTTAGATAAATGAAGTGAATAAAAGGGTGAAATTATGCATGCCTTGTGTCTTGTTAACTGAACTGTTAAAAGATGGGAGCAATGCATTTGTTTGTTCATTATGAGAAAATTTCATGGATTCCATGACAACTATGCTCAGTTTACATGCATTTATATATACTTTGTTCATCCCGAGCATGGCTATTTTGTTTTGCCTTTCCTGTTTCACTTTTGATTGTAATGTCCTGCTGTGAATATTAGTTGATAACGAGTAATGGTTTTTGGTCTTGAATTACGAATCAATTCCATGACCCAGTTAAATAATTCTGCCCAGGTCAAGGATTTAGACGTGGAGCTTGAAGCTACTAAACAAAAGAGTAAAGAAAATATTGAGCAAGCTATTCTAATTGAACGAGAAAGAGTTACACAAATGCAGTGGGATATGGAAGAACTTAAGCGGAAGTCACTGGAATTGGAACTGAAATTGAACTCCGAGCAGGTGCGAAGTCATATTTTTACTGTTAATAAATATGTTATTACCCAGTCAAATATGATTGTAAACTTACTAAATACTTGCATGTTCTCATTATTTTCGCAGGGTAATAAGGTTGAGACTATGCAAACTAGCTTCGAGAATAAAGATGTACTGCAGGAGTTAGATCTTAAAAGACAGCAGCTCGACGACTTAACAAAGCAATATCAAGAGCTTGAACTGAAGTCAAAAGCAGATATCAAAGTTCTTGTCAAAGAGGTCAAATCTCTTAGAAGTTCTCAAGCACAGATGAAGCAGCAGCTTAATGAATCGATTGAAGGAAAATCTGCTGTTGAGGTATGTCTGAGTACTTGCATGCGTAGGCCATCTTTTTGCCTGCCAATATAGATAGCATCTTTTTTGTATTTTATGGATTTTTTCTTTTCTTTTTATTGCTTGTTTTACTTTTATTCATGCTGTAAATCCCTCAACTCTGAACCCTATCTTGCTGTTAAAGATCTCTTGTGCAACTCTCGTATTCTGGATAATGTGTACCAATTTTGACTGCTTCTTTTCTTTTCTTTTTTCTTTAAAATATTTTGACTGTTAATTGTTAATCAAATAGAAGCAATCATGAATAGAAGTGGATATTTGTTCCAAAGATATGCTTTTGGCCTATATAAGCTTTAGACTGCCTTTCCCTCCAAAGTTGTAGATTACTTGTGAAGAGCTTTCATAGATTTAAAGCAATACGATTTGAGCGATAACTGACCTTCTGTTTGATATCTCAGATACTATTGCAACAAGAAAGGCATAAAAATGAACGCATGAGGGCCGCATGTGGAAATCTTCTGGAGAAATGTGCAACTCTTTTTGAGCAGCTTCAAAACTGTGATGTTGATTTTTTGAAAAATGTCGAAGCTGATCAACTCGTGAATTTTCCATCATCATCGGACGCATTGGAGCGCACTGTAAAATCTGATGATCAAATTGATATGCTCCTCACTGAGGTATTCTTTGGGAATAGTTCTGTATTTCTTACTATTTCTCGTCGAGTTTAAGCACCTTCTATCTTTACTCAGACTCTTGATATTGCTCTTAGAGGTGTGGTTCCATCTTTGCAGCTTGTATCATGAAAATTAATCTTAACCTTGGACAAAGGTCCTCAATTTTTTGAGTAGTGCTACATATTTAGTTAATCATGTATCTATTCCTAGGTGTTGGTGAAAGTCGCGTTTTGTTTGCGAACCTGTGATCCTATGGCATGACTGGCTCCAAAGATTGCAACTGACAATTTTAATCCGAAGAGTTTGAAGGACCTTGTCAAAAATCCAAAGTTTATGAAGCTAAAACGTGATTGGTTGTTGTTCTCTATGGGATAAGGAAATAGTGAAAGGTCCTTTATGATTGGTAGCTCTTGTTAGGACACAGACTCCCGGTTTTAGGTTTCAGACCTCAGAATGTTAAATTTGAGGACGCGGTGCAATATTTACTGTCATGTTATGACGCTTGTGATATACATTTGGGATTTGTTGTTGTTGAATGTTCTGACATCCAAGTTGTTTTGACTTGCATTTTGTCAGGTTCAGCAGTTGCCTCTGGGTGCTGCAGATGATGCTTCATCGGCTTCTGCTCCTGCTGATGAAACAAACAGTTCAGATGATGATGATGACGTAGCTCAACTGAATCGAGACTTGAGGAAGATGGCAGTAAGAATTTTGGCCGATAACTGTAGTTTGAGAAAAAAGATGAATTCGGTTAGTCGTAGGGCTTTGAGATTGCAACAGTTGTCTGAACACAACAAATGATGATTGCGAGGCTGTTTTGAAACGACATTCAACAATATAAAGAGTTTAGGTAGATAGAAGAGTTTAGGAGGAGCTCAATTACTGTAAATTTCTGTGATGTATAAATGTGCATACAGTTGTTATATATATTTTTTCCCCTTTCTATAAACAGAAAATAAAAATTTTTGCCTTTTTTTTTTTTTTAAAAAAAAGAAAAGACTAGGGAGGGGCTTTTAGCCTTTCACCATTTGTAACACTGTTGGCGTTTGTAATTTGCCAGAGATCCAGATATACAATTCGACGGGAGAATCCATTTCTTGTTTGGTTATTTCCGTTCAAACTGGTTTCGAGCTTTTTGCATTTTGTGATTGAAAACAGGGAGATCATTTTGTATTGATGGTTCAGTTATGACTTGTGTGATTGAAAAAAGGAATAGATACGATTATTTGGTTTCTATTTTACCAAAGCCCGAATGGAAGGAATTACAAGTGAATGTTGCTCTGGAAACCTTGCAACTGAGCTTTTTTTAATTTCTGATCTTAATTTATCCTAAGATTTCAACTAATTTGACGCCAGGAATAAACAAATTTGAAGGAAAATAAAGAGCACCAGAAAAAAGAAAAGATAGGGCCCAAGAATTGCTATGCAGTCATATCTGCATGGACTCAAAAGTTCATCTCCTATGGAGCTGCTGCTACACGTACAAGAAAAAAATGGAGATCAGATATGAAGCCCAAAACATAAAACACAGAGAAATTGGAGATTTATTATTAGTACGGGTCCTTTTCGAGACTTTGTGAAAAGGATCAAACTGTAAAATGGTAAAGAAACACGGGCAGAGTCTGTCTTACCCTCAACAGCTATCTTGGAATTCCCTGGGTTCCACTAGTATGTAAAGTGGCCTTCCATTCAGCCTATTCTGTCCCTGCATTCACATTCATTTCACACAGGTATTGGCGCATTGCGTTTCAAAAGTGTTTGATGAGTTTGCTCAAGATCCCAATGAAAAAACAAAACAAAAAATTAATTGCACATGAAAGTTTATAAATGATGAAGGATTCACCATCTGTTTATATTTTGTTTTGGTTTAGCTTATTCTGCAGTAGACAATCATAGCACTTGAGAAAGCGCATCCTTCTTGTAGCACCACCAAGTACTACTAAAAGTTAGTCACAGTAAATTTTTAAATCATCCCCATGTGAAGAAAGAATGACATCTTCCAAATTCAATCACACCTTTGGCAATGATACCTCAGAAGAAGCAAAACATTAAAAATCTCCACACGGGGAGGGGGGAACCAACGGAACCATTGTCTCTTTTGAACCTTAGAAATAAAAACGGTGTTTTTGTGAGGTCCTCTACCTACCCCCCTTCCCATCTGCAAACAGTCTTTTGCTCTTCATTAGGTGTTCTTTTTAGTTTCTCCCCAAACGCATCTATGGCACACACCTCAAAATGCAAATCAAAAGCACAAAAACTAAATCTTTACACAAAGTATACCTTGACCTCCCGCAATCCGATCACACAACCGCATTCAACCACTTCGGCTTCCATTGATTCTGCATTTTATGGAATCTATAAAAACTTTTGTTCCTTTATCAAAACTATGACAATATGCTAAACTAAGTATTCAACAATCAATCATTTGATGACCAGACCTAGAAGCTTGATTGCCGCTGTTAGAGTTCCTCCGGTGGCAACCAAATCATCGATTACAACAGCTCTATCCCCTGCTTGAACTGCATCAATGTGCATCTCTATACAATCTTTTCCATACTCTAGCTCATAAGCTTGTGAGATCACTTTTCCTGCACAAAATCACAATTTGTGGATTCAATTTTGAGTTACGACTACATTGTGGTTGTGGTGTTACATGGAAGCATTTCGTTTGGTGATATATATTAAAGAATTTAGATTCATGCTTCGGTAGGGAAAGATGCAGTTGTGGTGGTAAATTTCATGATTCAAAGCTACATTCCAACTTAACAGCTTATCCAAGCTAATACTTTGTGATCATCCTTTGCTGATGAATATCAAGAAGAGGAATTGGTACAAGGTTTATAATGTTTCTAATAAACAATTCGTTTTTTTTTTTTTTCCCATAAATCTCTAAGCTTTAATCTCTAAGAGATGAAGCTTATTGAAGTGTCAAAAGCGATTTCTTTTTAGTCTTAAGCCTATTGACATCACCCGCCTTCTAGTAAATCTCACCGACAGAATCCTCTTCCACATTGTTCAGAGAGACTTTCTCTTTTGAACATACTGATGTGCAAATATTTAGAAGAATTTGAATGAACATACCTGGAAGTTTTCCTGGTTTACGCAGAGGGACAAACTTTGCGCCGATAGCCAGCGCTATTGATGGACCAAACATGAATCCTCTGGCTTCGATTCCTACAAGTAACCATTAACTGCCTTTCATCAGACAGTGTGCACCCCGAAAACTTGGTTTTGTCAAAAAGATTAAAATTCTTTTCTTAATAAGACTCCTGATGTTTCTGATGTTAGAAACCACAATACAAAAAGGGCTCATTCCCAAAAGCAAATACAACATCCGAAAAAGAGTAGCGTCTTTACATTTTTAAAACGTGACTGTACTTTTTTTCCTATTCTTTATTTGGAGAAAAGAATATATATGGATAAAAACACGAAACAAATCAAGATTTCTAGGTTGCACTTTTGTTCTTCTGAGCACAATCCTGCCAGGAATTACAGATGCATAACTGGCATCATCATGATCGTCAATCACAGTAATGTCATGGAAGATGGGAAGGGATTAAATTAATGTGGTAACAGGAGTTAGTAGGGGTAAAAGCAGCCCAGAAAACATGGTGCTAGTGTCACAACTGGAAGCCAAAAGAGGCTGTCCATAAATAAGATTTTTATTAGACAGTAAACACTGTTAGTCCACTAATGGTTACAGCATTATGTGCGCAATTCTAATTAATAATGATGATCATGCACATTGTCACAGTACTTTTAAACGTCAATTAGTGTGAGAATTCACTGAGATTAATTTTCCACTGCGAGTATCATTACATAACTAATTATGAAGGCAAACTCTTACCAAGAAGACAAGAAACACTAGTGAAAAACAGCTTCACTGAAGCTAGCTAGAACATAAAAACTGATGCCTTCCTCTTAATTACTCAATGAACTGACAACCAACATGATGCAATATTAACCCGAAGAACCAATGTGAAAAATTACTTGCATGAAACTTTAAAAACATATAAATTGTTTTTTTTTTTTGACCCAAAGTAATAAGAAAACAATAAAGTATGCAAAATGGAGATAGTACAGAAGAATAATATCTGTAAAACTCACCAGCAACAACAGAGATGCCCATGTCCTTGTACCTATCAACGAATATGTCCACGGTGTCTTTGAACACTTTGTGATTCAACATCAGGGTGGTTATATCTTGGAACATTATTCCTGTAATTCCAAGAGAAGAACCATATACAGGAAAAAAGAAGAAAGATTAACAAATAAAAAAAAAAACTTGCATTAATCCATAACAAAGAATAATATATGAACAAGTGATATGATTTAAGGAGAGTAATTAGTAGGCACCTGGTTTAGGGAAATGAGGGATGACTCTAATGGCTGCAGAGATGGCCTCCAGTCTGGAGTCTCCCTTCAGTCCATTTTCAGCTGCAAACATTTTCTCTTAAATTCACTTGTGAGTGTATTTGTCTCTTTTAAGTATCTTGACAATGCACAACAGTAGTTAATTAAGAAGGTAAAAAAACTAAGGCTGGCTGGCTTCCTACCAAAGTGAACGAAACAGAACAAACTAGCTAGTATTATTTAGCAGCAAAGTTCTGTTTTTTGCCTCCCTCTTTGGGAGATTTTTTTTTGTGGGGGGGGTGGTCTCTCTTCTTCTTTGTGTGTTGGACTCTGTTGGAGGGGGCCTTTTATAGGCCTCTCATTTCACACACACACACACTCTCTTTAAACTTTGCGAGTTCCAAACAGTTCTTTTACACACTTCAAATTTCTTATTCATTTGCATAGTCATTAACAAAAGACTGTGGACTTTAATGTGTAAGATTAGTATCCGTATAAAATCTTCTGTGCTACTTTTTTATATGTTAATTGTGCAACAAAAAATTATTCATTGTGTCTCAGAATTATTATTCAGTTTAGTTTTTCATTAAGTATTCAAGATTAAAAACAACTGAAAGTACCTTCTTATATCTATTGATTCATCCTTCCTTCGTGACGGGCGAAAAATTCGCAATAAAACAGGCCATTTTCAGGATACTCTTTGTTTGCGTGACTTCATCATCTCTTTTCTTTCCCGTGTGCAATATTTGTAGTTGAATTTGCAATTACGTAACTTCGTACGTAGAACCTCAAAATCAAAACATTATACCTGTTTTATTTTGAACACAAAAGAAGAACCCAACATAATCACTGTAGTATATATATACTTTTTTGTCCCAAAATTATTGTCCAGTTTGAGATTTTAATTTTATTACAATTTGAACTAGAAATGAAAACTCAAATTGGATAGTAATTATGGGTCGAAAGGAGTAGGAGTACATTATTCATCAATCTAGCTAGGGGAATTTATTAAAACAGGACGTCATTCTTTTTGGAAGAAACATATTGATGATGATGAATTGATGATGATGTTGCGGGAGTGGACCATTTTTTTTTTTTGCTTCTTCTCTCTTAAAATGTTAGGATGAATTTTGGCACTAGAAGTTTTGCCAAAATAAAAGTTTGAATTCGAATTCTGCAATCCAACTTGAATCAATTCATAAATGCATGGGTAGGTAGCTAGAGTTACACTACTATTACTATTGCATTTTTGAAATGTCCTCTTCATCATAATTCTTCCTCTAGATTTTTTTTTTCTCCCCATTTTTCCTTTTGGTTGTTCCATGATGACGATGAAGAACTACACATGTATGACATACACATCCATATATATTTACTGCTGTTTCCATTTGTTCTATTCACCAACTTATCCAAGGAAAAAAAAATGTAAATTAATGTCATCATACACCATATATTTGGGTGTGATGTATCTTTAAGTATTATAAGATGTTTTGATTTGTTTTAAATTTCACATAATATGTTTTTTTAATTGGAAAAAAAGAATCTTATAAATATTTTCAAATAATTAGGTGAATGTGAATTTGTAATTTTCAATCAAAATCATATAATCCCCCGTCCTAAAAAAATAGTTCATATTGAATTTTTAAATTTGTACTAAAAACAGTACAAAATTCAAAAGTCAATGTTGATTTTTTTTTTTGGGACGGAAGTAGTACCACGTAAAAATTATAATAAATGAAAATGCTTTATAATACGGACCGGAGGAAACATATGAGACTCTTAAGAAGCTTTCAAACTCTTTTCGTTCTGAAGAAAAGGAAGAATATGAATGAAGCAGAACTGATATTAACTTATGAGTCCATATCTATCGAGGTTTACTGGACCAGCCCATCAACTTACTATAGTCCAACCGACCTGATAGAGGCGGTTCTAGAACATGAAACTTAGTAGGATTCGACATCCTTCAAGGTAACTTCATGCCTATAAATAGGATTGATCACACCACAAGACGGGTACGCTATCTCTAGCACACAATACTACTCTCATACGTTCTTTAAACCCTTTTCTGACTTAAGCATCGGAATGTCTATCCTCAGGAGACCCCGAAGCCCTCTTTTGTAGGAGACTCTAGCCGGAGTTACACTATCAACCCGGCGGTGTAAAATCAAGCTTCGTCATTAACCTACATTCTTTTTCTTCAATTTTCCCGAATTTTTTTATGGGCATTATAATTTTTTGTTGGGGATTTATTTGGAGGAGAAAACCCGACATGGAGCCCAATAAGTAAGATAAGACCCATCTGAACTCAAAAGCTCAAGCTAATGGGTTCTGAGACTACCTTACTTATTAACTGATTCACATGTCCTCATACCTCCGATGTGGGATTCATAATCCTTGCCACATGACCGTCAACATTTTTCTCATATTTATACTAATGAAGAGAGTGATGGGGTGCAGCTTTTGAAGATTGGGAGGCTTGGTCCCGAGGTAATTCTTTCTCTCCTACTTTTGACTCTTTTCATGCCTTCCTCTCCTTTCCACAATAAATATAAGTGTAATTCTCATTTTGTTACAAAATGTATGTTATATTTAGATTTTTTTTCAATTTTAATAGGATTCAAACTAAAAATGTAAATTTAAATTAAATAATATTTTTTTATAGTACAAAAACTACAAAGAATATTACTATTAATAATTACCCTCTCATAATTGAATTTATGTATTCGAACAATATTATTATTCTATCGAAAGCAGTATAGTAAATATAAAAATATAAAATACCTTTTAAACCCCACCCCCTCCCCCAAAAAACCCTTTTTGTAGGTTTCAATCGCTTCGTCATGTGAGCCTCAATAATATAATGCTCATTTCAAAATCATCAAATGTAGTCCTTCTTTTTCTTTATTTTGTCATAATAATAATAATAATATAAGAAGATTTGTTGTCAACTTTAATGCCTGCGATGTATGCACATCTTTTAATTAATTCCAAAACCAACTCTCTGTAATTAGTTAAGTAGTTTAGCAAATAAAATAAGTGCCACAGCTTTACCTGGAATGTTAATAATTATAATCCTGTTGCTATCCATTTCATTACAAGTATGTCCACAATTGGACATAGTAACTAACATTTGCTAAACTCAAGGTATTTTGATAAATATAGGATAATTGGCCAAAACTTTTCGACCGGAGGATTTGTTTGTTTGGACAAGCATTCATTTTACATTTTAACTCATTTTACCTCTTAAACACAAAATCCAATGGAAAATAAAACATCATCCAAATAACTTTCTGATTTACATTTTAAATTCCAACTTGAAACACTTTTTGTTAGTGTAATGACTATTTTTGAAAAAGAAGTAGTTCAGTGACGAAATCTAATAATGGAAAATCTTAAAGTGACAAATTTGCCAGGTTTCTGTTGTTTAGTGATTGTTTTTAGAAAATTTCTTTTTTAAAGTGACTATAATTGGTAGTATTTAATTGTTTAGTGATGATTCGTACTTGATATTTCAAAATGTAGTTCAAAATATTTTTTTCAAAACCAACATCTAAACAACTTTTTGCTCAAAATACCATCCAAACAACATTTTCATTTCCCATTTAGTTTTCAACTTAAAACACTTTTTACTTTTAAGTCGCAAAATAAAATATAAAATGACGTCTAAACAAGCACTAATCACCCCACCTATCGAGTCCTTTTCTCGGGTTAGTCGAACGAGTCTTTTCACTCAACTATAACCTTTCTCATTAAGATTGTTTTGTTGAAAAATTCCTTCTTTTTTTTTTTAAAAAAATCTATCTTAGTGGATTCCACTTACATATGGGTAAAATCTCCCTTACAATTTTGAACTCTAGTCTATTACCGGAAAGGTTTTCTTCTCTTTCTTCGTTCCAAACTAGAAAAAAAAAAAAAATTATATTCTCACAGTATAAACGAACAGACTCATGAAGACAAGGTAATTTAAGTCCCCAACTTCATTGAAATCTTTCTTGAAACAATAAAAGTACATGCAGTAATACTACACACTACAGGTACATGCATATGGATCCAAACAGAGAAGACAGAAATTTTTTTCAAAAAAAAAAAGAAAAGAAAAGAAAAACTGCATGAAAAGCATTGAAGCACTATGAATTTATAGACATCCTCAAAAGAATTAATGTGCTGTACGTACGCTTATAGCATAATTAATCAATTATTTGCTGTACATAATCATAAAGTTCAGGAAAGAAGATAACGTGATTTTTCCCGTCTTTTTTGGATTTTTTTTGGCCTTGGTTATTGGAGCCCTAGATTACATTCTTGATTTTCTGCTAGTCTTTTAATATAAGAAAATAGCAAAAGGAAGTGAAGGAAGTTATTGTATTTGCTAACCAAATTTGTCATCATCCTATCGATATGGATAATTGGATTTGCATGCATGGGATGTGATGCAAATTCAGGATAGAACTGAATCTCTCTTCAACATATTTAATAATTTATTATTAGATGAGGAAAATCAACGGCAGATTTACGCATATCTTTTTTATTAGTTTATTTTATTTATTTAACGTCTAAAAAGTCTCAACTAATCATAATTAATTATCCTTATTTTAAACTGCCGAAAGGAAGTAGAAGAAAGCTAACCAAACCATGCATGCACGTCTCGATGCGGTTCTTCAAGATAAGGAGAGACTGATAAATACTTCCTGCGTTTTACAATAAATATATATATATATATATATATATTCATATTCAGATTCATGCAGATTCCTGCGTTTTACAAAAAAATATGAAGAGTTCTTGCAGATTCATTAGAATGAACTAAACTCATGAATCAATATTAATAAGATGCAAGGGGATGAATATTCATATTCATAGTTAGATTAAGTTCATGAATGGAACCTTTTTGGTTTCAGTGAAATATTATATCTAACTAAGTTAATTTAATTAACTTAGGAAATGGATTAAACAATTCTACTACCTTAAGTAACTCTTCATCTATAAATAGTGGTTCATTCTCAACAAACGAATCATCCAAAATTTCAAAAGCTTTCTAAGCTTTCTTCTTAGCCTTTCGAGCCTATTTCCTTTTGTGCTCTTTGAGTTCTAAAGTTTTAGTTCGCTGGTGAAGATCCTTGGTGCAAAAGAATCTTTACGAATTCGTTGTATTATGGGAGATAGAAGTTCACTGAATTTCTTGCACATTCGGGAGAGGGCTAATCTGTCTTAAGAAAATCTTGTTTTTCATGAGCCTCAAATTTTCTCTTAATTTCTTTATCTCTTATTCTTGTCATTTTGGATACACTATTCTTAGTATTTACTCAACAATCTTAAGACAGACTTTCGAAATTGATTCTCTGAAGTAATTAGTAAGTATATGTTTGATATGCGTAATCTGTTTGAAATGGCAAAATGAAAACAAATTGCGGAATTTACAAACTCTTGGGGCGGAATGTCTGAATCCTTTCATCTCTAAAGTAAACACAAACAACACTATATCTGTTCCTCATCCAACGTTCGTGTTCATCAACTCGAGATAAATTTAAATGAATGGAACATATTTTTGAAGCTGATGGGTTTTTGTTTTTTTGGTCTTGAGTACGTACGTATTAAGCACGCATGATTAAACTACTCATTTACTATTTTTGAAAATGAATAGAATGATCAATTTTCTGTAGATGATTAAGTATGATATGTGATTAAGAAATAACAAGTCATTCAGCAGTGTTATTGTCGGGCAGGGGAAAAAACTAAAAAAAATAGTGTTAGGGCGTGGAGGTACGTGTATTTACTTGTGTAAAGTGTGATCATCATTTTATTATCCCCACTTTTTATTTGGAACATAATCATTAATACATTTATAATCTGGGTATCTATGAAGATTACATGCGTGCGGACGTTGTGAATAGGATCTTAATCTTTTTTTACCTTAATCACAAAGCATTATTATGTCTGGTAGCAGACACCGTCTAGAATTCAAAAAGAAAAAAAAAGTTGGACGGGTTGTTGTATTCAATGTAGAGAGTTTTTGTTGTGCACTTAAGTTTTCAAACGATTTTTCGGCCTAAGTTAATTTTATGTTTAATAACGGTTATACTCTGTCGGACTGTTCAATCAATTTTATCCCTCATTCAGATATTTACATTTCACCGACAGTATTTATCACTATTATCTGACGGTAATTCATTCATATTTAAAGGAAAAAAAAAACAGATTTTCACTCTAAGAAAAGCATAATCATATTCATTTGAACTAAAAATGAATATTCAAACAGGATAATAATTATGGGATGAAAGGAGTACTGTATTAATACACATTCAGGATAAGGTACACCTGAGTTTTGGGGGGATAAGACAAGATGGTATAAGTAGATTTTAGAAGCATCATCTAAATCATTTGGTTTTAATGATGATGATCCATTTAAAAAGGTGAAACAATCACTGCAATATTATATAAAATGTCACACTCGATATCTATACACGGCTAGAGATTTTTGCAAGTGTAGATACTGCAATTATATAGCTTTTTTACTCAAAATAATGACAATCCAATATTCTCCCACCCTTTACTTTGGCGTTGAAAAATTGGGGGTACGCATGCAAATTAACCACATGGATCTTCTGAGGTTCAAATTAATGCGTCCATTAAATTTTTTTTTTTTTTTTGTTAGACAAAATGGATCAAGATTCCAAGTAAGCAATTTGATCGCTTAAACTTTCTGAGTTGTTTTCTAACTTGATTTTATTAATTACTGGATTCTGTATTCTTGCGGTGTCCGCTTTGAAGGTCAATCGACAAGCTCCTTTTTTTTTTTTTTTTGGAAACAAAAAAAAAAAAACCCTTCATATATTAAGATTAGGAAAATGGTTACAGATTTAAACTTGAGGCAATCGACAAGCTGATGTGTAATGCTTCTAGCTCTGCGGGCGGATTCAGTAGAAAGAAGAAGAACCCCATCCCCATCAAAATTGGATCCATTCATCATGCCATAATACCAAAATAGAGCAAAAATAATGTAGTTTAGGTGGCTATCATGTCTTGTGTATATTGCAAAAAATTGATGATTTCAAGTTAAAGTCCACTTTCACAAAAAAAAAAAAAAAAAACAAAAGAAAACAGCAAAAGTGTAGAAAAAGCAAATAAAACTTGTTTGTGGACTTGGGATCCTCCCTTACAAGACAAAGAGCAATCGTAATTGGGCCCTTTTGGTTGGCAGCCCACATATGGATAACAACCAATCCATCATGCGCCGTCTCACTAGCCCATTTCTTCTTCTTTTACACGATCGACCCACACGATTACGAAACAACCAATCCATCAAGTCTTTTTTTTTTTTTTTTTTTTCCGTTTTCCTTTCAAGGGAAAACACATGTTACACCACGTTGTTGCCACCATTTTCCAAACTTTTGCAATTTTTGTGTACAAATGTTTACGTTTTGGTTCTCTCTGAGATTGTGTAGTGGTGGAACTGAGCAGTTTTAGAGTTTAGACAAATGAATGTTACAATAATCTCTACATAGAAAGAGGAATTTTGATTCAATGAGTTTAGATGGTCAACTAGACGGACCCAACAAAATTTCTCTTCATATACAATTAAAAAAACAAAACAAAACCAACACTTATTTAACCAAAATAGTAAAGTATTTTGCTTCTTTTAAGTGAGGTCTCGGGAGCAAGGTTGGGAGAGTTTTTTTCTCCGAACGGATACTGACCCGGTTCGGTGCAGATTAGTCTCAATGTAATGCACTTAGGACATCGTGCGTAGTATGGAAAAAAAAAAAAAAAACTAAATAAAAGTAATAAGACTACAGCCATCAAATCTAAGAATCTGGAAGGTTTGTTTTCTCCTTTAGATATTGTTTTCAACCATAAAATAAAGACAATGGAAACACACGATTTGTTTGTTTGTTTGTCCAATTGGAAGGAACCATGTATACATATTGTAGAAAAAAAAGAAAAAGAAAAAGAAAAGAAAGGAAAAAGAGAAAGCCTCCAAAAAAAGAGCTGAAAGCGGAAATATTGAGGATTTATAGAAGCAGCAGAAGTAATGACTAATGAAGGAGGAGAAGGGAGAACCACCAGTGCGACTGTTGAAAGAGACGGAGGGGGTTGAGTGTGACAACCCGATGATGACGAAAGCAGCATCTCCCCCCTGAGCCCACGTGGCGCCCAACCATGGAGGCGGTGGACATAGGCCATTGACTTCTACTTCTTCTCCATTAAGCTTCGAATCTCACCTGAGACCTCATTGTGTGTGCGCGCGCGCGTTACCTGTATAATACGATTCCCCATCCAATCCCTTTCCCCAAACTTCAAGTCATCATCTTTCTCCTGTGTCTGTGTGTGATTAATTAAATGTCCGATGCTCTTCCGGCGAGGTTCCACATGGCGGCGTTTCCCTTCCGACGCTCTCCTACTCACCATCCCTGTTTCACTCCTCTCCCTCCCTCCCGCCATTTTTCGTCTTCCACCAAGGTATTTTTTCTTCTATTCTTTTGCTCTATTTCCTTTTTTTTTTCGCGTTTAATATTATGGCTGCAATTGGTTATAGGGGAATTTTTAGGAAGTAGTAGCTGAAATTTGTGTGTATTAACTGTTGATGTGAAGATTTAAAGATTCGACTTTTATACTGTTTCTATCTTTGAACTGGAATGAATTGGAATTTTATCCTAAAGTTCAGAAGTTTTTTGTTCCACTATAATATTTCCTTTTTTTTTTTTTCGTTGTTTGATTCCTGCAGTATGGGGTCGGAAGATACACTTTATATCATTTCTTCAATAGCATTTCGCTGGTTTAAAGCTGGTTTCTTATTTCTATTGTTTTTGTTTTTGGTCTTTGATTGTGGAATCATTCTGTCAAAGTGGTTGCTTCTTCAAGCTATTGAGTATGGGCTGTTGATGAAATCGTGTGTTTGCACTTCATATTCTTTCACAAATTTCATGCGTACATCTAGCGGATTTTTCATTTATATTTCTACGAAACCTGTCGATAATGGTTATAGCAATTCTCTATTGCACTGTGATTTTAAAATTTGTCCACTTCTTGGTTTACGAGAAGTCGAGAACCCCTGGTGTTCTTTCTGTGATTTGGATTGTAGTGATGAACAGATGCAACTCTTTATTATAGGATAGGCATGTTGCAAAATACTACAATGCCCTCTTGAATGGGAAATGACAATTTGGAAGGAATTTTTATCACTTTCAACTCGATGCCTGAATCCCCTTTTGTTCAGCTTTTTCTGTCATGTTAAGCTTCAATGTGGGTGTTTCGGTTACGAAAAGTTGTGAAGTCATCATTAGAATAGAGTGCACTCTGGCTGTGAACCAATGTGTTTCAATGTTCTATCATAGTTCAGTCTCAGTCCATTTCAAGATTCAACCTCAATCCAAAGTAAACATTTGTTTTATTCGAATCCATATAGCCAACCCGGCATAGTGGAACAAAGGCCATGCTGTTATTGTTAGTAAATCACTTTTGTTAATTTCATCAAGTTGATACATAGGAAATTATATGTTTTATTGAGCTCCTATATGACTCTTGCAAGCAGTTACGGTGGCGCATACCAGAGCAGCAGTGGCAGAAGGCAAGTGGCCTGCTGGTTGAAAGCAAAAGAAAGGGTGCTATTTCATGGGTAGTCAGATCCGTCTTAAATGATAACATGCCAAGTATCAATGGCAAAGGAGAAACTGAACCAACTAGAATTCTTCTGGAGAGGCTCTTTTCCCAGACACAGAAACTGGAGGAACAGATAGGTAAAGATCCTGACATTCCTGAAGTTGCTGAGATCAGGTTGAGCCTAGAGAAGCTTGAAGCCGATTTTCTTGCTGCTTTTTCAGCATTGAAGAAGAAGGAATATGATTTGCAGGAGGCGGAAAGGAAGGTCAGGTTGGAGTATGAGGAATTGAACCTTGCAAAGGAGGAGATGGCGCAGCTAGAGAAAGAGATAGCATGTGCGAATTCGAGGCGGGAAGAACTGGAAGAGGAGCTGATGAAGGCGAATCTTGGCTTAGCTTCTCAAGTCCTGGTAATTGATGATCTAAAGCAGTGCCTAACAGAAAGAGATAAAGCAATCGTAGCTGCTAAACGCGCACTTTCACTGAAAGGAGATGAAATAGAAAGAATGAGTCAGGATTTGAGTAAGAAGAGTGAGGAAGCTGCCAGTGCTGAATTAGAACTCAGGTCAAAAGTAAAGCTCTTAGATGCAGCAAATGAGATTGTAAGGAGACAAGAGGATGAAATTCATGAACTCCAGAGAATGATTCAAGAGAAAGAGGAAGGAATAGAAGTTTCTAAGATCCGGCAGAAAGCCGAACTGGACAAGCTGAGAATTGCTGAGTCGAACTTGAAGAAACGAACGGCAGATTGGCTTACAGCTCGACAAGAACTGAAGAAGCTGGAGGAGGAGATGTCAAAGCATACTGGAGAAGCAAATGATACGCTGAAGGACTTCGAGAGAGTTAAGGCGCTACTTGCGGAAGTTAGATCCAAGTTAGTATTATCTCAGAAATCATTTGCTTTGTCTCGGCAAAAAGTAGAAGAGCAAGAGCAGCTTTTAGAGAAGCAGCTCGAGGAACTCAAGGAACAAATGGAAAGTGTTCAATCATACACGATCACTCTGGAAGATGCCAAGATGGAAATTGAAAATGAGAGAGTTAAGATGAGGGTTATTGAGGCTCGAAACAAGGAGCTTGAAAGGGAGTTATTGATGGAGAAAGAGGTCATTGCAGAGTTACAGAAGGATTTGAACAAACAGAGAGAATCTCTGGAAAGGGCATTTCAGGAAATCTCATCTCTCAACCAAGTATTAGTCCTTAAAAATGCAGAATTTGAAGAAATGGAGAATCGGCTTCAGGTCAAGGATGCTGAATTAGTAGACGCCAGATTGGAGATCCAACATTTAATATCTGAGCGTGCTTCTTTTCAAGGTTTGTTGGAGAAAAAGGATACGGAAGTCTCTAACGCGGAGGAAGTTTTGGCAGCTGTAAATCGAGAGATTATTGAGCTAAATATACTGATGAAACACAGGGAGGATCAGCTTATCGAAGCAACCACTGCACTACAAGAGAAAGAGATAAATGTTCAAGCATTAAAGCACGAGGTTGATGATAATAAGCACAAGTTTTCTGAAGCTGAATCAGTTGTGGAGAAGATTGTTGAGCTGACACAACATTTGGCGCTTTCGGCTGGAGATTTTGAAGGTTTTCATGGGACGAGCTTGCTTGAGGAAGCCAATAATTGCGAACCAGCTGGTGATAACTTAAGCTGGCAGAGAACACGGCTCGAAACAGAACTTCAACTTACTAAAGAAACCCTAAGAATGAAAGAGATGGAAGTTCTTGCTTCGCAAAGGGCTCTGACAATCAAAGAAGAAAAGCTCAAACTGGTTTCAAGAAAGTTGGACAACAAAGAGATGGAATGGATTAAAATGAAGGAAGAAATGATTCGAGAAAGCGCAGAACTCAGGCAGCTCTATGCTTTGGCGCAAGAAAGGATAGGTGAAAAGAGTATTGGAGACTTGGCGATTGAGAAACTCGAGTTAGAGGCAGCTCAGCTGGAAGTTGAGGCTGCAACTAATGCCCTCCAGAAACTTGCTCAGATGAGTAAAGATCTTCTAAATATGGTGACTTTAAGTACCAATTCAGATGTTGATATCAGCATCCTACTACCTCAAAGCGGCCTTAAAAATCCGTTACACTTAGATGAGAGCCACGGTGTTACTGAATTTAGAACTGAAGTAGCAAAGCTCTTAGCTTTGACTGAACAGCTCGTTATAGAGGCTGGCACAAAACAAGTGGAGAGGTGACCTAGGGCAGTGGTTAACCTTTTGTTTTAGTTTGTGGATTAACCATGTGTAGATTAGCTGTAATCTATCTAACCAGTTGGTTTTGTTGTCATACTTGACATAGGGGTGATTCTTGTCTTTTGTTCATTCAAAGTTTCTGCCTTGTATAACGATGTAAAAAGAAGCCATTTGATTTTGTTTCAGTAAGGGAGTACGGCCATGATTAAGGGAATCCCTTATGCATTGCCACTTATTCTTTTGTCTGACTGGCTCAGTAATCAGACTAGGAAAACCGAGTTTTTGTTCTTTTCTTCCTGTGTGTTTTGATAATTTTATTTTTTGTTTTGGGGTATGTGTGTTGGGAGAAGTTCCTACTCCGAAGACTGTTACCTTCCAAAATCCTGGAGTAACAAAAATGGGGTTGAAGTGCATTCATGATCAAAAGTGCTTTAATGTTAAATCCGTCTGCTGGTGTCTAAGTAATTTTGAGCTCGAGATCTATTCGGCTCCCTCATCTTCACAGGTTACAATTTACTCAGGAGAGACAGCTAACAGAAGAAAATGTTGCAGCAGCCACAGAAATTCTAAAAATTACCAACCAAGGCATAATTATTTACAACATATGACATTGTTTATGGTATTTATTTAAAGAGCATATTTCATTTGAAACTGACTGAATTAAGACCTGCGGTGGCTTATCCCTAATGGTTATTTTGGAGCAATTTTCTTCCCCTACGGCGGGGTAGGAGTAGTGACACCTTCCCTAAAGATGTAATTTGCCACCTGTGGAGGAAGCCATGCCGCATTTCCAGCAGCTAGTTGATTTTCTGGGGCTTGACTACCAAGGGGGGCGGCATGGGTTCGCTCCTTTTTCACTCTTGATCTCCCAATCTTCTTTCCGGCAAAAAGGCCGACTTTCATAGCAGCAAAAAGACCTAACGCAATCAGTAGGGGTCTCACTGCCCAGTGAAAATCCTCAAGATGCTGATACTTCTTCATCATTCCTCGAGATGTGTTAAAACAAACTGCTTCAACTTCAGCTGGATCAGCTAAAAAGCTGCTGTTTTTATCTCCAGAGAAAGTCAACCTACCTGGAAATGTAACAATGAGACCACCATTTGGTAAGACTTGGCATATTCTTCCCGTTGCCCACTCGCCACCACCTCTTTTTCTTCGTCGAGGCCATTCGAACCTGGGGTTTGATATATTAGGTTTCAGCTTCACAAACTGCCCAACACAGTAAGTTTCCGCCATCTGAAGCTCGGCATAACTCCCCCTCCAAAGGGTCTCGAGTCCTATAAATGCAACGGCTACATCTCCATCCCGATTCACTTTGTGAATAATTCCAACCGGAGAATGCTGCTGTTTTGTGCCGCCTCCTTCGATTACCTTCCTCAATCGCACCCAATCTCCAGCAGCCAATCCAAAAGTTACACGCTCCAGTGCAGATTTGTGAACCCTCTTAGGATCATGAAAGCCATGAACTCTAACTAAAACATACCCATTTTGCTCACTATCGCGGTCCAAACCCACTACAATCCCCTCAGGTATCTCCATGTTTTCGGATTTGGACGAGTTTGTCCGCTTTCTTGATCGAACTATGTCCCCTACTTGCAAGTGATCCTTCAAGAGAAACCACTTGTTAACATCTTTACAACTCAGTAACTCCATACCACTGCTTCTAAACCCTGAATCGACCCAAGTATCTATCCAGCTCCCGTCGTCAAAAACTGCACCCTGTGAGCTGTAAATTGGCAGCAATAATTAACAAACACTTTTTTAGCTTCTCCAAAGTCATGTATCATGAGCAACAACAATCACACCAATATAAAATAAGCTCTTTTTATCCTAATAATTCATCTTAAGCCAGTCAGTACCGACATAGGAATTGAACTCATATTAGAACTGAAGATCATTATAACAGTAAGCACAAGTTACAATGGTTCTGGAAACAAAATAAATGCATTAGTTACAATGGTTCAAACAAACTAAATGCATGAGTTACAAGTCCAATCTTCCCTTTTCTTTTTCCTTTTTGGGGATTGTTTTGTGGTCCATAATTCTACATCCCTGCTTTGCAAATTGTGCTTAAATTTGTTTTTTTTTTTTAATTTTTTTTTTGCTTAAAAATTCCAGCTCTGCAGGCACTGCCTGAAGCTAATTTTGTAAAGCCATCAATGAAAATTTTCACTACTAGGTAACATGCATATTCCAACGTGCATATATCACAGAGGATATTCAAGTGCACGCTTTTGCTTACACAAATTATAAATACTAGGCCTGACACCAGAAAAAAAAAAGAAGAAGAAGCAGAAATTAGTACCTTTTAAATGCATGAAATATATCTTCCATTAAAGGACGATTTCTGAAATCATACTCAAAGCAACCGTTTATGACATCCTCAACAGCAGGAGGAAGGAGTCCACCAGGAATATGCGGTTTCTCTTGCTTTTTCACGACAAACCTGTAGATTTCATCAGCTGATTTACCACTCCAAGGGTGCACACCTGTCAGCATCTCAACGATGCTGCATGCAAATCCCCAGGAGTCCGTCTCAAAGGAGACAGGACCTCTAACTTCTGGCTGCCACTGCTCAGGTGCCATGTAACAAGGAGTACCTAGTCTTGGAGTAATCTCCAAGCTTGATAGTGGAATGCCAAGCAGCAAATATGGGATTCCAATATCACCTAGAATAGCTTGGTCATTTTCTCTTAACAGGAAATTGTATGGCTTAAGGTTCAGAAGTAGGATCTCTTTGGAATGTAGTTCTACAATACCCCAAGCTAGATCAGCTCCATACCTATACAACAATGGAGAAGGTAACAATGTGAAAAGAGGAAACTGCCTCAGATAATCTATTTCTTAGCTATCAACTTTCAAATAGACAGAAATCTTTCTCTAAATGATTTTCTACCAGATTCCAAGTATAGATCACCTTAAAACATCAGACAGCGGGAGCTTGTTGCCTTTAAGGCGGGACATTCTATCACCGACTGTACCCTCCTCATAGAACTTCATTATGATACACAACTGAAACAACAAAATACCAAGCACAACATAAGAAGACCAACAAACTTCTAGCCACTAAAGGGTAAGCTGAAACCTAAAAGCTAACCTTCCCAGATATAAAGGAGACACCTTGCATCCTATAAACACATTCTGATCCAGAGCACTTGGAGAACAAGTCACTCAACCTATTTAATACAATGCTAACGAAATCATCCTTTATTGGAGGCAGCATCTTAACAGCCACCTCATGATACTCCTCATAATCTTCGGTCTCATGGTGAAGGGTCCCTAACCAAACATCACCAAATGGACCCCTTCCAATTCTGTGTCGAAGCCTAATTTTTGACGAGTCAATCCATGAGCAAGTCTGATACGAAGAGGGGACAACATTACTCAGCTCGTCAGGGTTATCTCCTACAATCTCAAAGTCATCAGAAGACTTTGATCGACTCTCAATGAGTTTCCCTGCCATTCGCCTACAAGAAAGTGAAGAAAGTAATTACAAATCTTTGAGCCCCACAGGGAAACCAAATCAAACCAGAAAAGGAGAAGATTTATGTGGCAGGGCTTCAACTATATTTTTCATATTTTAGAATCAGACTGAACTGGGGTATTATTTATTACAAAAGTCATTTTCAACCCAAGTAAATACTTATGTTTTTCTTCTTGGAAAAGCAAAAACATAAATGAATTATATCAAATATCTGTTTTGATCATCAAGACAAACTTTCCTTTTGACAAAGCTGTGGCAATGGAGAAATATCACAGTTCTGAAACATTTAGGTTTTCGCATAAGGGACTTATACTCACTCGAAAAGCTAAACTCAAACAGAAACAAACAAGGAAAAAAAAAAAGATGATATCAGCTAATCATCAGCTAAAAACAACACTGCCAAATCAAAAGTTACGTGATATTCCTTCCTCACCCAAGAAAAAGGGAGTCTTAACTGGCCAGGCAACAGCTAAAGTTGAAGCTTTCTAAACAATGATCAAAAACCCAAGAACAAATTCAGTTTGGTCTGTGGTCTATAGCATGAATAGTACTGAGAGGGTAACATAAACCACCAAAAGATAAACACCAAATTACCACCAAAGGGGGCAAGGGGAGGGGCGACGGTGAAAGATACTACGATCAGATCATTTTGAAATCTTGACAAACACAGATTAAAAACCAAAAATTTCTGTTACTTTAACAAAATTTATCTCAAATAACCATACCATACTTAAGGGCACTATAAACCACCATTTTACCACAGCTCAAAACAAAAACCCCAAAAAGACACTATAATCAGGCACAGTAGAAAGTTTTAAACACTGATAATAATCCCACAAATAAATTCTGCTCCTTTCCACAATTTATCTACGAAACCATACAAAAAAGGCAACATAAACCCACCAATTTAATCACCACAGCAAAATTTTTAAATAGAGAGCACAAGAAAGCATGCAAAAGCCTTACTTTGAGGTGAAATTAGAAAAAGTCGACGAATTAAAGTAAACAATTGTTTCAGAAAATGATCACTCAAGATTGCTCAATTCATCATTTCCCCCATCTGACATTAAACCTGCCTGCAAAAGGAAAAAGAGAGACAATTCGAAGTAAGTAAAACCGAGGATGATTTCAAAAAACAAAGTATCACTTTCAGAAAGAACTGATATGTACCAGAAACGAAATCAAAGCGGTGAGGACTGAGGAGCTTACGTTATTGGAAGAAGAAGGAAAAGAGTCCAATTCTGAAGGTGCACGTTACAACTGAAGTTATATATATAGAACTCAGTCAATTAACTCTCAGACCCGTTTGCCTTTGCTTAATTTGCTTTGCATTTGTTGCTGCTCTTATTTTGCTTTTCCTTTTGTTTTGTTCCTTCTCTTCTAAACTTTGGAAATATCTACATTGCATTGATTGATGAGTAATTGCAAAAAAAAAACAACTCGGGATTTCGGAAATCTACTTAATTTTCGTTTTTGGGTTTTTTGGTTTTTTTTTTTTTTAAGTTTTCTCTTTAATTGAGTAACCGACATACTAAAAAGAAAATGAAGTGTTTGTTTGGATAACGTTTTGTTTTAGTTTTTTATTTGGATTTGAGAGGAGACTTAAAATGTAATTTAATGATATTTTTGAAAAGTGTTGTAGTATAATGACCATTTTTTAAATTAGATAATTAAGTGACCAAACTTAAAAACTTTACAATAATTTCGTAGCCATCGGCACTAATTTTTCTCTCACCACCGGACTACCTCCACCTCCGCCGCCGGGCCGCCTCGCCGGAATTTGGCCGGAATCCGGCTGGCGGCGGTCCGGCGGCGAAAGTGGCGACCCGGCGGTGGAGGTGGTTCGGTGATGGTCAAAAATTATTTAAAAATAATGTTTAAAATATTTTTAAAAAGTAAGTTAAATTGATGTTTGCATGATGTTTTATTTTGCATTGTGATTTGTGTTGAAGAGGTAAAATAAGTGGAAAGGCAAATGAAATGGTTGTCCAAACAAAGCCAAAATCTTTCTACCTGAAAATCCAAACTGGATAATTATCTCTCTATAAATACTACCTAAGAATGTTCTCCTCCACTAGATTTTTATTGGGAGTATTATATTTTTTAGATAAATAAATTTTTTTGAAAACAATATTAACAATATGGTAATTTATGGCTATATGGTATTTTATATGGCTTAGAAGAGAAAGGGTGTGGTATAATTTTTTCTTGTTGACTCTACTTCTTTTCTTCTAAGTTCGAAACATGTACATTTCCTCCAACTTTTTTTACTCACTCTATATTTCCTCCATGTGGAGTATCTATTTTCCCTTTTCCGTGCAAAATAAGAAAACTTGGTCATATATTTATTTTCTTCAAGGACAGAGTTATCAACAATATAATTGTCCTTTGCTCACTATATATCTGAACTTCTTTTGGAAGGGTAAAGTCTATTGTTACATGGAAATCATGAAAGTATTGTCGATTTTTTTATGTTACTTCTTCTGTCTCAAAATTATTATGCAGTTTTGAAATTTTAGTTTTAGTATAATTTGAACTAGATGGGACGGATGAAGTACATTACAATGACGCTTTGAAACCATATTTCCTTATTATAATAGATGGCTTCCATCACGGTAACAACAGAAGTGGTAGTTTTTTCTTTTTTTTTTTTTTTTTTTTGGTTGAAGTAGTGTTTAACTGTTTATACTTCGAACCAACGAAATGAGGAAGATTTTGCAAAAGACGATTAGAAGAAGATTGGGCTGGGTGCGGGCTTACTGACTTGTCTGTAGAAAGTGTATTATGAGCTGGGCTTTGTTTCGTTTGGGTTAGGAACCTTATTGTCATGCCTTGGGTTAAAAATAGTATCCAAAAATAGAGGGGTTTGATTGTAAATTCGTTTTATTCGTGGTTTGGCTGAATGACATAAATTGGCTGTATCCATTTGTAAACAGCTATCGAAAATTATCAAAATTGTTATCAACAGAGTGTTTACTCTTCTTTCAGTTCCGTTTCCATCTTTCCCTTATTTCCATCTTTCCCGTCCAAATCGAAGCCTTTCCGGCAACGGTTCCGGCTTTCCTTTTTTACGCCTAAGTCCCGTTCTTGACACTTATTTTGTTCTCTTTGGACCTTGTATTGTACTGGGCTTGATTACAGTCCCTTGAGAAATGACTGTTTTTTACGATATATATATATATATTTTTTTGGAAGGGTAGTTGATTGACAATGAAGTTCGTATCTCAATAGAAAGAATTGTAACCAAATCTTTTGGCTTCTCTAATATAAATAAATAAAATTGATGTTATAATGTTTTTTACGAATCTACAGCAGTTATGCAAATTGCACAATTGATTGTTTCCACAAATGAATGAACTGATGAATCCAAGATATATATATATATATATATATATATATAGTAAATCCTCTCTAAATTAATAACCTTGAGCCCCCAAAATTTATTAATTTATCGATTTATTAATTTATCGATAAATTAATAATTATTAATTTAAAGAGTTTTTAAATCTTAATAAGGACTTCTAACTTTATTATCGCGATACTAGGATTCTCTTTATGGTATTGAATCTCCAGAAAAGAAGCACTAAAGGTAATAACAACTCTTTATAATTTTTTGTTGAAGTATGACAAAGCGACATATGAACTTTTAAATACAATGAAAAAGATAAAAAAATGATATCTCCATAGATATAAATTTTAAGAAAAAATAAAGATTAATAGATTCATATTTTATTACAAATTTTATTAATTTTTGTTTAGGTAATTATTAATTAATGAAAATGTGGGGACCTATATTTACATAACCGATTCTTGAAAATTTATAATCTTATAAATTAATCGAGTTTTTTCATTTTTTGTATTAGTCCCAAGTTGGAACTGCAAAAATTATTATTTAATGGAGGTTATAAATTTATAGAGAATTAATTTAGAGATGTTTTACTGTATATATTTTTTTTTGGCAGTCAAACTATTACACTAACTTACTTTTTACGTAGACGACGAAGTAAATGAAGAAGGTGAAATGAGAGTGAAATTAAAACGGTTCTGCAAATAAAATGGAATTTGCTACTCTGAAATGATCAAGTGAAAGAAGGAAGAGCTAACCCTAGCTGGATCCACATAAAGCTAGCTAGCTTCATAATAGGTCTGTGAAGTTATAAGGAAATTTGGCAGTAGTGAGGGGACGACAATCCCATCAGATAATCAGAATGTCACAATGTCCTCTTATTACAGGCAGATATGTATATTTGTGTACGTACTTGATATAATATAGATTTGGACAAGTAGTGAAGGGATTAATGTCCTTATGCTCATGTTTTGTTCGTCTATAGTGGTTACAAATGATCATGATGATGTTTTATAGTGTATTCAAACCCATCTTTTACCATCACACGAATCACGAATATGATTGAATTGCATGCATCCTGGATTTCTTAATTGGTTACTGATGAGACTAGTATTACAAATCCTGACTCAACTTTCAAATCATCTAGTGTTGCAAAAGAAATCCTAGCTATTATCATGGTGTAATTTATTAGGCCTTATAATATTATTCCTTCTGTCCTATTTCAATAATCTTCATCACAATATATATATTTAACTTTTCTCGCCTTATTTTAATAGTATATTTTATTCGCGCGTTGTGATATTTAAAGAAGTATATCGAAATCAAGTGAGGAGTCCCCGAGTAATTTTGATGCCTAGCGACAAAGAAATTAAAAGGATCGATCGATCCAATGGCCCCAATTTAAAAATTTTGAAAAGGGTATAACAAAATCAACCGATCAAGAAGGTACATAAATAAACAAGAATTGGGAAGGAGGAAGGAAAGGAGTAGTTGACAAATCACTTTCATAACTCAAAAAAGAAAGGCCAAAGAGTGACGTTAAGCGTTAAGGGCACATGGGATCAGGTTGAGGAGAAAAAAAAAAAAAAAAACACACCAGAAAGAAGCATAAGAGCTGGGAAATGCATGTGGATGATAAAGATTCAGCCCATTTCTTTACAATTGTGTTGGATTTTTTTTTAGCATATATTGATTTCTTATTATGTTATTTCTTTTGGAGAATTTTTTTAAAAAAATAAAAAATAAAAACAAGCAACAGAGAGAAGAAGGGAGAAGTAAGAATTGAAAGAGGAGAAGAACATGGATGATCCACCCCATTTTGCCAATTGGGGTATACCCCCTTTTTCTTTCTCTCATCTTCCAACTAATAAAGTCATGTGATGCAGTGATACTCTCTTGTCTTTGCCCTCTTCAAAATAAAAAATATATATATAACACTAATAATAATAAAAATTGGTGTACCTTAGTAAGTGTGGGACCCCTACATCTTCCCTACTACGAAGAACATCAAATTCCAAATTTTGGTGTGTGGGCTCTCTCTAATTTCATGTATTCAATTTCTCCATCAATCAATTTTTCAGGCACAATTATTAATAATTTCGTAAGTGAGGATGAGAATTGAGAGTTACCTCCATCCCTATTCATGACTACTAACTAGGGTTATGTATTTGGCAAGTTTTGATGTATTCATTTCAACCTACATTCGACACATTTACTACTTCATCAAATCAAAACCTCAGATCTTACATGCTCTCCCCATGCAAACCCAAAATTTATGCATTCCATCAACTCCTATTCCAAATGCGATTCGTATGTTTGATTTTGATTTTTTTTTTTTTGACTTGATTATCTTTGACTATAATTAATGATAAAATTTGTAGAGAGCAAAACGGTTCGATCAAAAATTAGCCCTAGGATATGATGAATATCAAACCCTAGATTATAATTAATAATGGTTCATAAATGATCATCATAAGTCTGGATACTGTTATTATTCATAGATGTGTACGTGGTGAGACATATTATATGGCATAAAACAATCGACGTATAGTTTATACAAGTCCATATTGATCACACACTGTAATGTGCCATCAATTTATACTAGTCCATATATACATGGCCTTAATTATCTAAAATAGTTGTTCAATCAATTGATGGTCGACTGATCCGAAAATTGCCAAACGACATGTTAAATCAATGAACAAATTTTCTGGGGGATATGATGGGAGTTGTGGCTCAGATTAAACCTCTGGAGGATACCTTAATTGCTAGCTTATCTCTCTCAATCCAGAATAGTTTTCTAGAGCACTTCATGCGGCCAATCTGATTGACGTTGTTGTCTCTTGCTTTAAGGAAAGAAGCAACCTTAAGTTCGGGGAAGATTACACCATAATATAAGGGAAATGATTAATTTATTTGGGAGATTTGGTACGCAAAGATCATTAGGATCTAGAGGAATAGTATTCACTTTGTCCTGTCCATATATATATATATATATAGATATATATATATACTTACTGCCACTTAATTATTTGTTAATTTGGTAAAACATGAAACATATTTGGCTGTCTGATTGGGACCTCCAACCTTCTTCTTCTCGCGTATAGACCCGTTTTTTCTTTCCAGTAATTTGGACAAATTCGAAATTACCCTACTTGTGATTTTGGTTAAGCTCATTGGAGGGAATCTTACTCTCTTAATCTTGTAAAAAGATGTCTTGTTACACAAGGTTCCAAAGTTCTTCCCATTTTTGGTGACACTGATCGTCTCTAGCAAGATTAATGTAACCTAGCTATATATGTAGCTCTATCTTAAATTATTGTTTCATATCAATCTCTGCAAGAAATCTGTTCTTACATGTACATATTTGATATTACCAGTTATTATATATGTGTGTGTGTGTGTGTATGTATACTAAGGATGTGAGAGGATCGTTGACAATTTATTTGTTATTAGTTTTTACTAAACAAAAATAAAACAAATGAAAGGGTCTGTTGTTTTGTGGCTTTTAGTTCGGCTTGTGAAAAAGCTAGCTCATTCGAGTTTCCTTGATGAGGTTCAAGTGGAAATGTGCCATGTGATTAGTTGGAGCTTGGTTGGAAGAGGCTGCGCATCTAAATATTACTTCTTTTTTCTTTTTCTTTTTTTTTTCTTAGGATCGATCGCATATAGTACGTAATTCAATTTCAATATGATTTCAGAAAAGAAAATGAGTGTGAAACTCTTTTGTTTTTTCATATTGTATGTTATCCACTGTAAATACATAAGAACAGTGATTGATTCCTTTGTTGATGATAGTAGATACTCGATATAATAAGAAGTAATAAAATTATTGGAAGAAATAGAATTTAAGTTCAATATAATAAAAGTTAACGAAAGTTTAGGTGCATGGATATTGTATATTTGTATTCATGACTAAAACTTGATAATTATTTTCGGGACGGATAAAAAATAACTGGACAAAATTTTTCCAAGCAATCAAAGGCGTCTGCAAATAGATAGATTTAGACACGTTTGATATGGAAAGCCATATCATATGATATATCAAGGCAGAGCAGAGAAAGAAGAGGATAGAATGGACAGACAAAGGGAGGGAGAAAGGGGAACCGAGACAAAAGAAAAAAAAAACCAGCTTGGTTCGTAGTAGGGTTATTGACGAGAGAATTCTAGCTAGCTGGGGATGGATGAGCATGAAGCCAGTGGTTGCTTTGGTTTTTAAATTAAGTAGTATTTTCTTTTCTATATATATATATATATATTTTTAAAAAATGTTGTTTGCTCCCTAATTAAGCCCTTGATTTTGATTCTAGACTACTAATCGATGTCCCATGAACATAGAGCCAAAGGCTACAAATTTTATGAAAGGTGAAATCGCAATTGATCAAAGGCTGAATGAAGGAGATCATATATATGAGATCATGTATGGATGGGATAGGGGGTTCGTCCTGAGGGCATGATACCTGTTGGTGGGTTAGGTGGCAACCCCTGCCCTGTCTTGTGGACCTATTTTTAACCCCCTAGATTCCTGACCCTTCTCAATCACCCCCCTTCCTCAATGTTCCAAAATATGTGTAAATCAAACACCCCTCGTATCATTACTCTTTTTTCACTAGTGTGATTAATCTCCATTGCTGACCACGATATCAAAATTACAAGTCTAAACAAGTGTGATTCAGAATCATGACACCATAACAATGTTTTAATTAAGTGTCAATTTGATTATTAGATATTCAAATTTCACAAGTTTGCGTGTAATATCTCATATGCTTTGTCCTAGTTATATTATGGACTGTGATCCGTAAATTCACTCTCCGCCAAAGAACATTAACAATTAGGATGAGTTTATTTGGACTAATGTGGTTTTGACTCTAGTCTTCTTCTCAATATGTTGGTAATGTCATTCATGCATGCATTAATTCTTACCTTTTTAGAAGCAAAAAAAATAAAAATAAAAATTTGAAACTTTTTTAAAACTCTTTAAAGTCACCCACTCTCTCTTGTGGAAATATTTTATAGGAACCCATTTCCTGTACTGCGCCATTGGCTTTAGTAAGGGAAGGGAATCAACCATCTCTCCAAACTATTTCCTGTCATCCCAAACTTTTTTATTTTATTTTTTCTTCAACATGGACAACTGTCCTTTGTTGAAAAACAACCAGCCCCATTTTTTGTCGGTTAACTATGAAGATTTAATAATTAGTAGTAGTATACATCAATTTTTCTCCTTTTTTTTTTCAAAGAAGAAAAAGAAAAAAGAGGGGAAAAAAATAAAAAATAAAAAAATTCAAGCTCTATAAAAACTTTTGGACTTCCCGTGAAGAGAATCAGTAAAAACCGGTGACGCCTTTTACACCCCATCAATCATTGTTCCCTGATAAAAAGAAAGATATCGTATTCAATACTATAATCATTTGTTTCAGTGTAGCCAATCAAAAAAAAAATTAAAAAAAAAATTCCTCGGAGTTGGAAAGTGATCCCTAATCAATTTTTTCTTACACAAATTAAATAGAATCATAGTCCAATTAAATTCCTGCTTCACCTCAAAATAAGAAACGCATTTAACAGTACAGACATTTCATAAATTTCCCAGGGATGAAGGAGAAAAGGATTAGTAAGTGAGAGCTGATATAAGGTATATAAGCTATCCATCATCATTCTGTTAATGAATGCATCACTTTCCAACTGACAGCACTCTTTCACATTATTTTGGCTCTCAACTATTGTTTCTCCTTCCTTCTTTCCTCCCTCTCTATTTTATGTTTTAGTACTAAGATTTTTAACCTACGTGGTATAGTGTGTCTCATTTCTTCATAATCATCGTATAATTGAATCCTCCTTCCATAGCTCAGCCCCCACACTCCCTTCTTAATTAGCACAGTGTACACACGCACAACCAGGAAAAAAAAAAAAAAAAAAAAAAAGGAACTGAACTTTGTTGACTCTGAAATCAAACAGAGGGATCTCTGGGAATACAAAGTATGATCGTCGTGGGGGATCGAAGCCTCGAATTTTCAGAGTGGTGGCGGCATAATTAAGAAGTGTAGCTAGTTAGGTCATGACTCCGGCGACAACAACAACAACAACAACAATGGCTTTCTTCCCCGCCAATTTCATGCTACAAACTCCTCACCATGAAGAAGATCATCATCATCATCAGCCTCCGACTTCCCTCCTCAACCCACAAGATTTTCACGGTAAATTAAACAAAACGGGTTTTGTATATATATATTTTATTTGTATTGGTTTAGAATGAATGAATGAATGAATGTAGATAAAATTGGTGGGTGCATGGGGGTGCAGGTGTGGCATCGCTGCTAGGAAAGAGATGTATGTCATTTTCTGGGGTGGAAGTTTGCGATGCAGAGAATCATAACAATAATACGAATAATAGTCCTCAGGTGGGGGAGGATGAATTGAGTGATGATGGATCACTTCAAATGGGGGAGAAGAAGCGGAGGCTGAATATGGAACAAGTGAAGACACTGGAGAAGAATTTCGAGCTGGGCAACAAGCTGGAGCCTGAGCGCAAAATGCAGCTGGCCAGGGCACTTGGGCTTCAGCCCAGACAGATCGCCATTTGGTTCCAGAACCGAAGAGCCCGCTGGAAGACTAAGCAGTTGGAGAAAGATTACGAAATTCTCAAGCGCCAGTTTGATGCGGTTAAAGCCGAGAATGATTCTCTTAAGTCCCAGAACCAGAAACTCCATTCCCAGGTAGGTATATTTGTTCATTTCAAGGCTGCATGAGTAGAGTTGTTTAATTTGTGTTTAATTAGTCTTCTTCTTACTTTAAGTTCAATAAAACCTTATGCAAGTGGGGGCTCCTGTTCGCTCAAATTAATCACCATTTCAACTGCTAGCTGTAAATTAAGCTAGCTAGCTAGCTAATCAAGTCTTGTGTATTTTTTATTCTAGTACTATATTGTTTGTGGAGCTATCATTTGAGAATCATGGGCTGGAAGTACTTGAAAATTAAGTGGGACGAACACACAAAAAAAAAAAGAAGAAGAAGAAGAACTCTTTAATAGAAAATACAAATAAAATAATCAAGATTATAGTAGTTTAGAAAATTTGTCTGAGTCGCAATGGTTTAATTTTTTTTCTTTTTTTCTTTTTTCTTTTTTTTTTGTTGGAAAGAAGAATAATAGTTCAGCTTCCATGTTGTAATATTCTCTTGGAACTACGGAATGGAGGAATATAGGAGGAAGATCGGGAATATGATAATTCAGTCTGTATGTATGAATGTATCAATGCATGGCAGAAAGGAATTGTTGATCAAAGATAATACTCCTAAAAAAATGTGTGTGTGTGTATGGGATGGTAGTAATGGGGGGTGGTTGTTTTTGGCAGATAATGGCACTGAAAAATAGGGAACCGACGGAATCAATAAACCTGAACAAAGAAACCGAAGGATCCTGCAGTAATACTAGGAGTGAGAACAGCTCAGACATCAAGCTGGACATATCCACCAGCTGCAGAACCCAAGCCGGCGCCGCCATTGATAGCCCACACCCTCCAGCTCCGACGACGAGCACCAGCCGATCCCTGTTTCCGACCAACCCTGCCACGTCCATCAGGCCGCCGCCTCATCATCAGGTGGTCACCACTCAGTTCTTCCACAACAACCCATCCAGATCAGATCAAAACGTCAAGGAAGAAAGCTTGTGCAATATGTTCGGGATTGATGATCAGGCCGGATTTTGGCCCTGGCTGGAGCAGCAACATTTCAATTGATCACGACTAGTACTATTTACTACAACTACTAGTAAAAAAAAAAAAAAACATGGTCCTTGTTACTCCATCCAATTAATATCCTCTCCATCCTTATTCATCATTTCTTCCATGTTTCAATCCAAAAGATCAGAGAGAAACGCGGGCGGCAAATATGGGGCTACACAGTTTATTAAATCAATTAATTGGGATATATATGATCCATCACCAAGGTCACCAAGATGTGACACAAGTATATCTGCATTTATTTGCATGCTTTTTTTTTTTTACAAAATTAAATTCCTTTGTTTTTTTGTTATGGTACTTCATTAATTAGGCAGCTGTCTGTAAAGTGTAGCAAAAAAAAAAAAAAAACCATTTCTTCAATCTAGGTGTCAATAGTGGAATGAAGGAGAAGGAGGAGGAGGATCGGACTAGGAACACAAGATACACCACAATCAATATTTGGTGCCATTTCTTCTCAAAAACTCACAAATTAAAAAGGGGATGGAAGAATCTCTCTCTACGTTGAATTATTGTAATTGCTAGTGATTTTGATTGAGCATTATTACTCGCTAGCATAAACCAACAGAGTGCTACTTCCTAGCCTTAATTACACTGTAAATTACTCTTTTTTTTTCCTCTTCTTCGGAATGTGTAGTTACCATTTTGAGGGGTTACTTTACTTATCATCAGTCAAAAATGTTGATATCGTTTTCATAGTTTTGCTTTATCTAGCTATAAATAGATAGATGATCCTAAATCCAAAGCATCTACGGCCGGGGAACCCTTTTTTTTTTTTTTGTTTTTTGGTTGTAAGTGTAAAATGATGATTATGTAGAGCAACGGTTCAAATCAAGATCGGAACGAAATTTGCGAGTACAGCAAGTCTACAAGTTTTGGTACAGATTGGAAAAAATAGTTTGAATTTTGGAAGTGTGTGTGCAGAGTGGGGACTAGGGAGAGAGAAAGGGGGGGAATCAAAAGCGCACGTCCCGAGAAGGGAAAGGAAAAAGGACAAACAGAAGGAGTAGGAAGAAGAAAACAAGGAGAGTTGGAAATGGTCATACTCTCGTGAAATGGACGTTGCCAACTCCAATTTGTGCTGACCTTTTTCACAATCTAAACTAAACGGTATGGTTATTATTGGGAGACTTCTTCCAATTTTCATCACCTTTTTTTTTTTTTTTGGGGGCTAGGCCCCTTGGTGGCCTAAGTTTAGTTCACTGTGTTTACCATCTCGCGGAAAACGACTACAAAATCCATTCCGCCGATTGTGTTGAGATTTGAATCTGAACAATATCAGTTGATTGATGTTTGGTTTTGGGGGAGGATTTATTTTGGATGTAATGCATTTGGGGAGAGAATTCTTGTGACATTGTGTCACCAAACTCACCCTTCCTCCTCACTTTTCATTTCCTAGCTTCCATTCCAACATCATCATCAACATGGATTCCTCCTTATTACATTTATTTATCCTCGCCTCTTCTTTTTCATATATACTACTCCCTCCGTCCCATAATTATTGTCTAGTTTGAGTTTTCATTTCTAGTTCAAATTGTACTAAAAGTGAAATCTCAAATTGGACAATAATTATGGGACAGAGGGAGTATTTGGCACCCCCTCATTTGTGCCTTCTTTTTTCCTTTGCTTCCAATTTTGATATCTTCCCTTTCACATTCGGAGCCATTGATTGATTCTCGACCAAAAGTGAATTTATTTTTTAAAATTCTTTTTTATGCTATTGTTTATAGAAGGAATCGCATAGGTTCCAAATAATTACCAAGTTGAAGAGTTTTTTCATTTGGCATGTTGGAACAAGAGGGATGTTTAGAGACCAAAAAAACAAAATAAAATAAAATAAACTGGGACTTTGACTCAATTAAACTCCAAATCCAAATCCCAAAACAAAGACACATCCTGCACTTGTTTCAAAGGTTGAAAGTCCACCTTATTATTCACAACGCTAAGGACATGAAATTATTTCTCTCTTTATTCTCCGTATATATACTACTAGTAAAACGTTTTATAATTAGATAAGGATAAAAAAAAAAGAAAGTAAATTTAATAATAACGCACCGTGTTAGAAGATTGAATGCAATGATGATCAATATGAGCCAAAAACAGGAACGAAGGGATTCAAAAACAAGAATAGAAAAGTAAAAAAAGGAAATTGTAAAAATATGGATTGAAAGGTGCAATGATTGGGGAAGAGAAGTTTCAACTCCCCAGCATGATTAACAACCGCCAGGGGAAGAAGGGGACAATAAAAAGAATGTAACCCCGAAATGACAGTCCAATGATTACAGTGTGTATCCTGGGGGAACAATCCACTTACTAGATTTTACAGTTAAAGATTAATATTTTGCAAGAACGCCTATATGATAATAGATCACGTAATAACAATAATAATTAGGTCTACAAGAGAAGCAGGCACATGTGCTCTAGGCTTCCTTCCAATGAATAAAGCCCACAGAAACTGTCAGGAAGATCAAACTTGTAAATCGCGCAAAATTTTATTATTAATCCATTAATTATTGAATTACATGCACTTGATCCCTCGACCTGGAGTAATAATCATTATCATCATCCTGCCATGATCTCGCTTTCTTTCTGGGATCATGTGAAGAACATTATTTTTTAATAAAAAACACACACACACACACACACGCATTAAAGTGTCTTCTGGCACAACCACAGCCCAAAGTCTGATTGTTGGGCAGGAGGAGAAGGAGATTACGTGATCGGTGATCTAATTAATTTATTAAAACCCAACTTCAGTTACAGTACTATTTATTTATTTGTCCAATGAAATGACAAACTACTTAAGATGCGTTACAGTCTCCTAATGGTGGCCACGTGCGTCGTGGATATATCAATTAACCCCTCCCTTACATAAACAACTACGTACGTATACCATCGTCCTTCATTAGCTAGTGGATTATTTTCTACTAACATTGTTTTTGGTACTTCATTAATGCTGATAATTTTTTGGGCATGTTCTTCTGGTCTTCTTTACATGTGCCTCCCATTGCCATTTGGCCCATTTCCTTCCTTCTTTTTAAGTGGCTGCCCCTAAATTTACATACTTTGATGGCATTCATTTTCTTAATTTACCCCAAAAATATTCTATAGGAGGTTAACTCATCCCTCTGTGATTTAAAAAGCCACCATCAATTCCTATCATTTTTTATTTTTCAAATAAAGTGTAAAGCAACATTAAACTGATCAATGATGTGAATATTTACCATATTGCGATGCATACTATTTTCTTTCTTAGGTAATGAGAGTAATGGACTAATGGTACGTGCGATTTGGATAATGTTTAGTTCTGAAGCCTTTTCCCATTTAGTGTGTGTGTGTGTTCGCGCGTGTTTTTATTTAACAAACATTATGTACAAAACGGAAAAAGAGAGCGACCAAGATTGCACTGGAGCACTATGACTTACAAGCTCCCTAAGAAGACTATCTTTATAGTTTGGCTTTCAGGTTTTATGTCATACTCCTGTGGGAGTAAATTAGTGATATTTGGATATTATAATGCAGGAAGAAAAGTAAAAAAGTAATAAACGTCAATAGTATATATCCGATGACAAACAAAGATTTTTATTAGATTGAAAATGTCATTACAATCATGGGCATAAAAAAAAGAAAGAAAAGAAATTACATTGCAATAAGAGAAATCTAACTTTGTCTAATGTTCTTTGCAGAGTACGTTTGTTGAATAAGTAATACTAGTTAATTGGTACACGCTACGCGCCTGCCCTCTAATATTATATTTTTTGAAAATATAAAAAATATAAATATAAGTGAGAATAAGAAATGAAAAAAATATGTCGATAAGGAAAAACCTTTTAATACTTTTATGTAATTTTTTTCTTACATTTATATTACGAATTATGAAATAAAATAGATTTAAAATATTCCACACTTATGTAATTTTCTATTTTATTAATGATTAGAAATTCAATTTCAGCGCATTTTGAGTCTCGTCAAAGAACAAAAAAAAAAGATGAATTGCACGCAACAAAAAAGAAAAGAAACAGTAATCATCTTCTATGAAAGAAATTCAGTATATAAACAACTGTACAACAATAAAAAAAATAAAAATCATTCCTTTTTATACAAATAGATACAAATTTCACCTGTTGTAGGTACATGTGTGTGTGATGTATATGGCGTAAATACGTTTTATCTTTCTCCAAAAGATTTATTGTTTGCCGTTCGAATCTTTCAAAAAATGAAACTATTAAAGTGACAGAAAGGGATCTCTATAACATGAAGAGCAAAATCTTAAATGAAAAGTTGAAAGGGAGCTCTATGATTCAACTTCTGTTCGGAGAATTTGGTAAAACTGGATTCTTATTTGATTCCAAAAAAAAGACATTAAGGGTTGTTTGACTCACCTTTTTTTTTTTTTTGCTCATCTTGCTTTTCTTGCATTGAGTAGAAATTATTCATCTGTCTTTATTATGGATAGCACCTATAAAACGAATCGATATAAGATGTCGTTGTTTGAAATAATTGGAATGACAATGTTTTAACACTTGATTATATTCGAACTTTGCATTTTTGAGGTAAGAAAGTTATGGAGATTATAAGTGGGCTCTAGAAACTTTTAAAAAAATGCTCGGACATGACATTCACCCATCTGACATCGTGACTGGTAGAGAATTGGCTCTCATGAATGCTACTCAAGATATTTTTCCAATGACTTCAAATTTGTTGTGTGTTTGGCATACTCTAAATGGGTTGTGGACTAAGTTAGATAATAAATATCAGCAGTTGTCGTTGGCAGACAAAGAATTTGTTCACGAGAAACTATCTGAACTTATTGATGAACGAGCCAGTTTGACTTTTGAGCTAAATATACATAAGGGAAAAGGGAGACCACCAGTTGGAAGGAAAAGGAAAAAGTCGGCTTCAACAAAAAAAAAATTGTCACAATTTGAGATTGTTGAAGCGTTACTAAAGCATAGAGATAATGAGGGTGGAAACTTGGACAACCATTCAGGCCAAATTAGCACTACAACCATAATTTGTGATCAATTTCAAATTTTAGCAGTGATCAAGTATTAATGGGTGTTTTTGACTTGAACAGGATCCCAAGCCCTTGTAATGAAGTTAAAAGAACTAGAGATATACAAGTACACATTTATTAAATCAACTTTTTCTTGGTATTAAAAAATAGTTCATGAAATCATTGATCACCCTTTTGGTATTTTTCGCCTATTTTAATTGCAGATTTGGTCGTTCTGGCTTGAAGATATATATATATATAGAGAGAGAGTTTGGGCAAATGTATCCTTAAGTGGTGGAGATTTTGGAGATTGTGGTGATCCGAGAGTTACAATATTTTTTTCACTCGGAATATATTAATAATGTGTTGGTTCTAGAATATGAAGATATACAAATTCTTTGTTGAGAACCTATTTTTCTTTCTTTCGTTTTTTTTGTTTTGTTGAGAACCTATCATTATAGAGGGATTTTCCATAAATGAATTTTTGTACGGTGCATCGAATTGTTATTATTTGCTTAAAAATTGGCAAGTGAATTGTTTTATGTTGGTGATATTTTATGGGTTTTTTTTGTTCTCCACCGAAATACTCAAATGTTATGTTTCATTAATTTTTTTAATGCGGGGCTAGGAGCTGGATTTCAAAATCGTAGAGCTTTTTTTTTTCTTTTTTGATTTGGAGTATTTATTTTAAACTTTTATCTAAACCATAAAACAAGGGATGAAAAAAAAGAAATTAATTATATTGGATATGTTAAACTTTCATGTAAGGGTATGATGCGTAATTGAAAAGAGTTTGTTGTTTTTATAACAAAATAACTTTGTATTTATCAATTGACATATCCTAAAGTGAAAGATTAA